TACTGATTATGATAAAAATATTTGTACATAGTAATGATAGGTATTCAGATACTAGGTATTGAGTATGATGAATTTCAAATATAAATTTAAATAAAGCAACAATTCTAAGTAGCAACTCAATATTGATTTCTTTTTGCTCGGCAACAATAACAAATAAGCAATTGAGACCACTTCTCACAAGGGGTACCTAACTAAGTTACTAACGCCTTCATGTATTTTATTTTTCATAGAAAAGCTGACTTTTTGATAAGATATTTCATACTAAATAAACAAGACTAGACAGCTACTCAATCTGAAGTGTTTACTACTCTCGAGAGAATATATTTTACACATTTTCGGGATGACATAAGTGTCCGTCTAACTGTCGAACAATTTTCCAGAAGAAGAGAAAAGATGTCTTCTTTTATATATGTACTTTTATATATATATTTATCGTCAAGCACGTTTGACGATATGGTGTAAACAGTAAATGTTCTAAACTGACGGAAGTTGTCGTAACCTTTGGGTTGCCGCCAAAAATATCCCTATTACGTGACGTCATCGCCGCGTGATGTATGTATACTCCGTACCCACCATTTGAGGACATTACGACTTGTTAAATGAGATCGTTACGAAGGTAACATTTGTTCCTGATAATGATAACGCAACGCACCATAACCGACGTACACATGGGGCTGAAAAACTAAAAAGGTTTTGATGGATCAGAAGTCAGTAGAATACTATTGTTTTTTATATTTCTGTGTTTCCATAATCTGTGTGCAACAGGACAGATAACTTTGGATTGGGTAAAATTTTTATAAAGAAAAATATACATTCGACTTTACTTGGCCCTTCGAATACCACACTATATCTATGTTGGTGGTATTAGAACACGTGTAATGCGTAACTTGGTAGTGTTGATAGAGTTGACAATAGCCTGTGATCTCTTAGAACGTCAACTTAAATAAACACTTATTGGGCAATATTGTGATCTAATACAACAAACAATGATTGCTAGTATTGCTACACTACGCAGCTTTAACGAACAAAGCAAGGTGTGAAAACCGTTCCCTTTTTGTAAACATTTATTTTTACTGCAAAGGTAAAACTGTACAAACTATAATGTTTAATACTTATGTATTATATTATTTGTGTTGTAATTATCGAATGCCCGAATCTGTGTTTTGTGGTCCTTTTACGCAAACATTGTCCGAAATCCAACATTGTTTAAATATTTAATGCACTTTTAAGAATTTACAAAATAAACGTATTTTTTTGTCTACTTAATCCAAAAGCTACCTTATGGGTTTACTATACTAACTATTTACGTGGTACTTATGCTACTCATTTTGCGTGTTTTTTTATTTTCAGTAAAACATAAGCGGCCGCCCCAATTTGAACCAAATTTTAGACATTTGATAGGAAAATGACACATATTATTTTGATGTTTATCAAAAACAAAAAAAACTATAGGTAGTCTTTTCTTTACTATCAGGAAAAAAATTAGGTTTTCCTCAATTACAGATACCGATAGAAGATGTGATTCAGTGAGAAATAATACCTTAGTAACAAATGCTGCGATGATCAATTATCAAGGTTTTTGTAAAGAGCTCAGTGAATTGATTACAAAAAACTTTTTGTGGACAATTTAACTAGGAATTAGCACTTGTCTTACCATTAATTATTATATGGGAAAAATATATTTGTAAACAATAAAAACATTGCAAAACTAAAGCTATTTAGAAATCTACTTACCTTTACCTACAACATTTTTTTTTGCGGTCATTTTCGAAAAACTGGTTATGCGTGTTTCTCTAAAAAATATGTTATAAATATTGATCAACTGACCTATTGTAACAAAATACGAGTTGGTACTAATCTGTTTGAATGAACATTGAAATTTAATATTCCAGTTTTAAGTTAATTACATATGGTGGTAGACAGGCACTCGTACTCGAATCGGCGATAACTCGAAAAAAAATACTAGTCTTCAACCAATTCATTATACGTAGGTACCTAGGTCCTATAATTATATATTTATGGTTCATTATCATGATTACCATCACGCCGTGATTTCTGGATTATGTTCCTACATAAAAGGGGTTTGCATAATCTCCATGTTTGGAAGACAGGCTCGTACAATCAAATCAAGATAAAATTACCTATATGATTGTATTAATGATACTTCGTCAGTAACATTGTTCTACATTCTACTAAAACTGCTCGTTTGAACAACAAAGACAAGATAAGAACAGAAGGACCATTGAATTTGATAAGCTTGTTTTTGCTTTATTATGTCATCTTGTCATTTATGTTTGGAATTTGTTTATTTAGTTGAATAGTCAGAAGAAAATGTCTTCTGCTTTGCTGACGTGGTTACCGTTCACTAACAAAACAAATTAAGTAGAACAAGAATTTAATTTCTTTCAAGAAATATTTTGAGTACCTATCCGTTTATCAACAAATTACCATCCTCTAACTTAAACATTTTAAGGTTCATTAAAATCACTATCACTACCTACATACTTATAATCTTACCTACATACTTATAAAAACACAAAATGTGTACGCAAATTCATAATTAAATCAAAAATTCAAACTGGTCCTTCGGTTCGCATTCTCTAGTGTCTGTTATCAAGGTGGCTTTACCAAGTCACGTGACGTTGAGCATGCGTTGTCTCAGTCTTGGTGGCCTGAGTTGTGTTTCCCCCATAACCGGTCGTAACCAGCCAAAACCCGACTGAAGTCTTCGAAACGAACCTCGTAAGGTTTTATGTGTTTCACATAACGGAGTCACGGAGACGCTTTTGTTCATGTTCAAACCAAGAACTGGCATGCAAACTGATTAATAAATTAATGTATTTGGAAATAAACAATATCTCTATACTCTAAAGTTGGTATATTTTTGTAGTAGGTAACCGTGTCAATTTTTGTGTCAATGATGGTAGATGACGTCATTTATTAGTGCTAGACATGGGTCGAGATAATTAATGAATGATGTTTGTCTTGTTCAATTAAATAGAAAATGTAGTCTTTATATTATATGTGGTGTCATTTATTTCAGCGTTAGAATAAGTGCTTTGAATGTAAAAACTATAAAGGCAACAAATATTTCATAATTTCTTAGTTGTCATCGTAGTGTAAACGTGTCGCGATAACAAATTAAATAGTTCCATTCTTTTACATGGACTCAGTGTCAAAATTGAATGGTACTTACTGCCTGGTAATAAAAGTATTGAAATAAAAAACCAGAAAATTAAGGAGTCTGACCGAAGTATGCAGTCGTAAATAAATGATCATTCGACCATATCGAAGCAAATAAAAATATGTATTCGATCACGAAATTATCCCTGATTCTTCCAAACTACCCAACAAAAATGGATGTTTTATCCATACATTACTTTATTATTAACACTTAACTTAAATTAAATTAACAGAGCAAAAAATTAAGGGGTCTTAGTGACTCTAGCTGAGTAAAACCACCATGATGCCCCATATCTCACAGTGGGTACACAAGAGTACGGGAAACGGGAACCACATTTTGACGCAACTGACAGCCAAACTAGTTCAAAGCGGATTTGTTTATTTATTAAACAGAAGGCCAACTAATTAGTCATCTCATAAAAGTCCTTACAATCTCAAAGTACACGTGTAATCTTCATCAATAAACATCGGAAGTCGACTGTCTAGTGGCTATCAATTACATTGTATATAGGGCTAACAACAATTTATTCAGCACAATTACTGTCTGGCTGATGTTAACAATAGGTAACTAGCTATCTAATAAGACACTTAATATTTATACGAGGAATTTGTAAAATACAAAGGATCTTCAGATTAAGTTTAAGTAAATAAACAATATAATGTTGTCTAGACAAGTGGTAATTAAGTTTAACTTAGTTAAAATCATTTATAGGCTGTTTAAAAGCCGACTTTAGTTTTAAGTGCAACCTGCTACATGTACTTGAAGTACTTGGTGAACAGATTCTCTAGAACCCTAATAACATGAGCTTTTAAAAAAAAGTTCGACAGAAGGAAACTTCGCTTTAGAGGTAATATAGAACCTAAGTTATGATATTAATAACGCTTGTGTTTGGTCGTGTGAGTGAGGTTACCTGAGGCCCAAATACCCCCCTTCCCCTCCTTCCCCAATGTCCCCAAACTCCCTAATTCCTGAATCGTCAAATTCCTAATCCCCCAAAAGGCTGGTATCGCACTTGTAATTGTAACGCCTCTTGTATTCCAGGTGACCATGAGGCATGATGCGTACCATCAGGTGATCCTTCCGCTCGTTTCCCGGTTTATCCCATAAAAACATCTCAATTATTGATTTTTTATTTGCTTTTCCACAATTATAAGATTTCTATCTAGTTCAATGACTAGTCTAGTCTAGATGTAACACTGACAAAAAAAAAACAAACAAGATTAGTAAAGAAATTAAAACAATAGGCAAACGAAAGTGAAAATTTTCCACCAGCCACCTCATTTAGTTTGGTTTTGATGTTACCTATTTACTGAACAAACATATTTTCTTTAGCTATTTCACACCATTTAGGAAAGACAGAAGCGTAGCTAGACGTACTTATAGTTATTACATTAATCTTGTATATACCCATGTCTAAAGAAAACGTTAAAGTAATTAAGTAGAGTACAGAGCCTGATAACATAATGTCGTGTTAGCTGACTATTACTGGCCACAAAAAATTTCATGTATGAAATATAATCCCTAGAGCTGTGTAACGTGTACTTCACTACTTCTACATTATGAAAACAGCTATAATCAATTAAATTAACCTGTTAAGTTTGTTGTTAAATGACTAGTATACTTTAAATAAAATTCATTCTCTGATTTAACCAAGCTAGTGTTACTTAATATTGTTCTTTCTTTCTTTTACAGATATCGTGCGAAACAAAATTATGTGGTTTTGGGCAACAACAAGGAAATATTTCGTCACAATAAAGCTACGAGAAGTAGTGTCGTACAAGTGTAGTTTCCGGTAGTCCACCGACTTAACATCAATATGGAAGAAAATAGGTAGGTTACTTATTTAAGCATGGCTATTTAATCTATGTATAATTCTTAAATTAGTTAGTAATTACTTAGAATGAACCTGTTTTTTTAGTAATTACTTTGAATTTTATTGAAATAAAAAATGGTCCTTTTTGGTCCTTCGAAACGCATGATTTGTTTCGATGATACTCTAAGATAAATTGGATGTATATATATATGTATATATATCTACAAATAAGTTTCTTTAATACTAGGTTCACTGTTTCCGCTGTGGAGGGAGAATCCAAGAAGAATGGCATCCATATGGGAGCCAATATCATCACCAGACCTTTACGAACGTCTGCTGAGACCGTAGAACGAGGGACGGGAAATAATGCCCAATCAGATACCTGGCTGCATGACGCTGGATGGAGAAGAAAACGGTCATTGGCTCAACTTACCAGAGAAGCTCTGCCGCGATTGGATAATTATAGGAATTCTAAGAGAGCTTTAAAAAGGCCAAGTCTTGGAGAGTTACATGGAGATCATCTTATTACTGAAGAGGTAAGTTTAGAAGGCCATAAGCAAATTAGCCTTGAAATCCTCAAACCATAATTATTTTGTGAATTCTCACCAAAAACCCAATGTCATCTCGTGCAGCACTCGTCATTATGATTATTGATCTCATACAATCAAAGTGTCGTTAGCGGTTATAGGTACAACATTTATATCAGCGTTCAATGTTTCGCCGTATAGGAAAGAATTATGTATCATTACAGTGGTTTTGCCATGATTATAAAAAAGACACGATTTTGGGAAATATTTCTTTTTGTAGAACATTTTTGTTTAAAGCAAATTAAAACTGTGACTCACGTGTTGTCATTAAAAACGACTATCCACTACATTCTTATCATATTAATATACGAAATTCTTCTTTTTATAATTGGCAACTGACTCTATACAAAATTGTATTTGTGTTCCAAAAATGTTTTTCGATAATAAACTTACGGAGGTATTATCATTAATTTTAAATTTCGTTTGTAAATTTTCCATAGTTGCAGAATTAGCATACCTATCGAAGACATAACTATTATCATTACATCTGGTATTTCATAACGTCTTATTATCTTATCATCATTATTATGTGTGACTTTACCATTCACGGGACCACAGGTTCCCGGTCATTTAGGAGGCGTACGAGGGCCGAAGCCTACTGCGTAGAAGCCCTTTAGACAACTTTAATCTAAATGTAATGGACACACAAACCGGCGACTATCCCTGTATGCACTATAAAAAATGCACCCAAGGACAGTCCAAAGTTAGAGTAGAACTATTGTAGATAATGAAAAAAAGGTAGGGCTAAAAATTATTATAATGTTCGGTTCCATTTTCTAAGCTCGGCTACAGTGCCGGATTTGACGGCTAGTACGGGCCGAAAGCCAAGTGCTAACCCACGTGGACGTTCAATTTCGGGTTAGGGTGTACAAAATTTTGTCGGATTCGTTCAAAAATTTTTGAACAAAATGATTATTATTAGCCAATTTTCATCATGGCTGGATATAGGCCTCTCAAATAGTACGATGTCGAGCTTGATTTTTAGGCTTTCACGTCCTTTGTTATAAGGATTAGTTACTCCTTACAGTTGCTATTTACTATCCGCATTGTTATAACGATAACTATCTGATCTGGCTGCACTATTATACTCACAATGCACAATAAACTTATATGGCTGTGATTTGTAAAGATAGCATTGAATGATACTCTAGTTTGAATACTATTCTAAACTACGATAAAAATTTGATGTTAGTCTCTCTAAAGTCTGTAGGACTTGAAATATTTTCAGCTTGGGAAAAGTTGTACTACAGTCGATATCGATTCGTATAGTTCTTCAGCTTCGTCATTTAAACAAATATGAAATAAACTGCTCTAAGAACATAGCATCAGCCCTTTCAATAAGTAGGTACACACGTATTCTATATTCCGTGGTAAACACGTTGGTCTTGCATACAATCCGGCGCATCTATTTTCTCCTGATTAATTGTACTAACAAACCAAGCAGGTTTATGTGCTTATTGTATTTATACAAACAGTCAGTAATAGACTAGTTTATGTTTCATATATCAGATTCAAAGAATGCCACATTATTATAATTATGTTTGCAAATAGTGTGGATGTTGACGTATAAAAGATTTCCAGTTTTCCCTGAAAAAGAAAAACAAGTGTGGATGGTATACCCACAGAACAGTAGACCTAGTTTTGGTGTTATTAATTCAACTAGACATTCATTTTGTTCTTGTGGCCGTAAGTGCTGCTGAGCCCGACCTTGGCCTAAGCTTTTGACGAGGAATTACCTAATTTATTTTGTATTCTACATAAGATTAAGCTCGTTCCACATTATACAGGGTTTGACAGTGTCACAGGTATTGCGTAGGACCTAATATTGTGTAACAGGCACAGGCAGGCTAGTTATTAATTGGTGAACAAAGAAATAAATGAAAAATATTGTGTATTAGTTATCGAATCGTAAAAACAAATGATTTGAAGTAAATCAATTACATTAAACATTAAACGATTGCTTATTTAGTATAAAAGTAAAGATAAGGCCATCGATTAGTCTTGTAATGTTTTGCATGTGGAACAGGAAAATTGAGTATGCGGCGGATTTGACCGGTGCGATCCGGAGCGCGCCGCACGCCGCGCCGTACAAGCGGGCGCACTTGAGAGCTTGGCCGACGTACAGCCACTCGCGTTACAATCAATACACTTTTATACTTAGCCATAAATAATACACTTTTAAGAATTTTATATGTTGTTTAAATTGAGGTTATATGTGTTAAAATGTTTTCGGACGATGATACTTACTCTAAAAATGTATTAGACGAAGATTTAAAAGCTCTGGCGATGACGTGACAGCTGCGAGCTGACTTGACCTAAAATTTAGTAATCTGCAATCTCGGTGCGCAGTTTATTACATATAGCAGATGCAGCAGAGACTGATCATTATAATGTGCATATTTATTATGCAAAACAGTTTTGATCTGAAAAATTTTTTTAGCCTTTTTCTCCATGTCTTTTGGCAAATAGGTTTTTGGGATCAGTACTGAGTTTTAGTTTTAGTAGTTTTAGTATTTTACGTGGAGGCCATGGAGCGACTACCCTCCACAACCCAAAGTATGTTATTTACCGTTTTGGTTAGATTTATCATAAGATTTTTGAAACTTTTGGCTAACTACAGAACATAGGTATTATTTAAGAAAGTCATAGATGTTGAGAAAAGATCAATTTATACAGTACAGTACGGTACAGTAAAACAAAGTTAATAATTTATGATGGTCACCTTTATATCGTAAATTTGCAACCTTAAATATTGAGTACGAAGTTTTATTCTATTTTCAAATTACGTTTCAAGGTGTAGACTGGTTATGTGTACCCATGGATATCTACTAATTTCAGTTCCGTTACTAGGTCTTTTAGCGAAAAACACGTGTTTTAGTTGTCTGAATGAATATAAACATAAATACCTAATGTTTATTGTTATGTAAACAAATACACCTGATGGCGGTCACGAGACATGCTGATTCGACACGTCTGGGAACGATACACGAGCGCATTGTTATAGCATAGATTATCCATGGACAGAGTGCGAGACAGCCGGTTTCCATCATGGCGGCGAATGCCGTCACCTGCCACTCACTGGACTGATTATATCCATGATAATCATCTGCATCACACACGTCAGAAACAATAAACTTACGGATTTATGTTTGTATACATTAATGCTGATTGGATACACCTTTATTTTGCCATCAAATGGTCAGTCAGTGACAGAAATTAACCAAAAAGAATTAATTATTACATTTGGTTGCAGGACGAGAAAGTACAACAACAACAGACTAGGGACACAAAGTCACCGACACCTGCCATTGGAATTAAATTAGGATGGATTCAAGTAAGTACAATTTTTATTGCATTAATTCGATGAATAAGCGGTTACGCTTACTTATTTACTATACTTTTTATATACTTACGCGGACTTGTACTATATTGTATTGTGTACGTATTGGACTTATTTTTTGATCAATAACTTGTTATTGGTTTTTCACCATTTATAAATCCTATCCAACAAGAATTTTCTTTTAATCCTACGAATTATTTTTAGGGTGTGTTGATACCATGTCTGCTGAACATCTGGGGTGTGATGCTGTTCCTCCGCATATCCTGGGTAGTCTCTCAAGCAGGTATCGGCCTGTCTCTGGTCATCATCGCTATATCTGCATTCGTGTGTGTCATCACAACACTCTCCATGAGCGCAATATGCACCAATGGAGAAGTAAAAGGAGGTTTGTCATTGTTTTTTTATTTTTGTTTGTTAATAATATTGATTTCATAACTCTGAGGGTCTTTACCGGTTTCATAACTCTGAGGAGAGAAATTAAATTGTGCTGTATATCAGTCCTAGGTAGATACCATCCAGTGATGGATATTATTCTATAATCGATTCCAGAAGTTTTCAATGATGATACATTTCTTTGTAAAATTAATCAATATGTTCATACATGAATCAAAGATAATTGAATAACGAATATTTATTGAGTGATAGCATCACGGCATCTTCACCAATAACTAAATGCAGTGACATGACTCACCGCTTACTAGCAAGCGATTCTTGGGAATTCATTTTCGATTTCCACCATTGCCGTTGCACTGTTTAGATTGGCATGGAATGGTTCGAGCCTTAAAGTCCTCGTAAAGCAGCTATTTATATTACTGAGGCAAACGTCCTCAACTCCTCACCTAACTGCTCTCAAATTATAGCCTTGTGTGTCGTGTTTAGTTCTAGGAGTTACGGTATAGTTTAATGATCACTCCTCTTAGTTAGACTATGATTAAATAGTCTCTTGCTCTATTAGACAGGTACCAAATAATTTGCAGACAGTTGTCTCCTGTCTTGGCTGATTGACTTCGGCCTATTTTCGACTTTGATATCTATCTAAATTGTAATAAAAAACTGATTAGTTCGTTGTAAATTACAACAAATATTCTGTTTCCAGTTTATGTTTTTTTCATAAACCTTAAAAGTAATTTTAGCACAATACTTGCAGGAGTTTTAGCTGACAATATAAATAGCGCAGCGAGGCAAAGCACGACGTGGGGAACAATGATTTCCTGTCATCCGTTGTACTTGTACTGCCTTTAGTCTTTTGTGTGAACTAGGGAAATGTAACGACTTAGTAACACAGTGCTACTAAATAATATGACGACATTTACACAATAGGGCACAGTAATCTCTATTAAGATTAACATCTGCGACGTATGATCACGGAAGGTATACCTATAGTCATACTTTGTATCATGTATATGCTTGAGAAGAATGTTGGTAAATCATGACATGTAGTGACGTAGGTAGGTCAGTATGAATGGAGACTAAAAATAAATTGGATAAAATGTTGAACTTCATGTTGGTACTGGTTGATCAGAATCTCAAAAACGTAGCTAAGGTAATTGTCTCGGTGACCAGTCCTTTAAGTAGTTTCTGTTAAGGTGCTGGATGTGTACCTTTATAAAATAAAATCAAGTCACAATGTTTTGGATTTTTAATGAACTGTTCATCCCACAGGTGGTATCTACTACATAATCTCAAGATCCTTGGGTCCGGAGTTCGGTGCTTCAGTAGGCATTATCTTTGCCTTCGCCAATGCCGTTGCAGCCAGTATGAATACGATTGGTTTCTGTGACTCCTTGAATGACCTTTTGAAGAGTTATGATGTTAAGATAATTGACGGTGGACTGAATGACGTCAGGATTGTGGGAGCCGTGGCGCTGGTCGTCATGTGCTTCATCTGTGCGGTTGGCATGGACTGGGAAAGTAAAGCGCAGGTAAGTTTAGAATACATTATTTACTGTTGATATGTTGAACTGGTATTATATGGCTGAATACTGTATGTCAATTTAATCTTAAATTTTTTTCGCCACAACATTCATACGTTCATTTCGAAGAAAACTTTCACTTATACTTGCTTTTTGCTCCTTTTTGTTTCCTTGTGTATTTTGTTAGGGGTTTAAGTTGTTTAAGAACTTGTTTCGCAGCCAAAAAAATACGTGTCTCGTTTCATGTACGTTTTTAATGTTTCCAATAATCAATTCCAAGATCAAGCAATAAAATCGTCTTAATAAACATTTAAATTTTTTCTATACGATGAGAGCTATAACCAATAATGGCATTAATAGCCGACGAACATAGTAAGATTCACGGTCATGTTAATTGACTTTTTACATAAATGTCCCGTGGCCATAAATCAGTCTAAAATTCGTTCACAGGTCACGAGCTTTGTATTGCCAATTGCTAGAAATAGATTTCCTGATATGATTTACATCGATTCAACAATCATGCTCACTTGCTTCAGTACACGTGCTTCACTTTATATTGCACCGCGCATACCGCCCACCCACTAACAACAATGTGGCGCATTATTATAATAAAACTATGGAATTTATACTCATTTTCAATTTGAAGTCGGTAACAAAAATTTGAAATATTTCGCCTTATCGTAAAAATGTAGGATTGTTGTGTTCGATACTTCTGTTTATTGCTTAAAAGCACTGAAAATAATTGAAACTTTACTTCAATAAACATAGTAGAATAGACTAACAATTACTGAAAACTAGTAACTGTATAGGTACTAGTAATTAATAGTTGTGCGACTGTCTAGCTAGACCTAGACAAGCTAGCCAATAGTCAGTCAATCCAAAAAATGTACCTATAGGTAGACGTGTAGTAAAATAAAAGTTTCATTGACGAATAGACACAGTCAAACTTTCATTTAGCAACATTATGTTACAAAGGCCTCAGGAGACAGTAACACTACGACATTTAATGAAAGAGAACACGCAATACTACTAATACTAGATACAGGGCGTTTAAAAAACTCGTTCGATCCTCGTTGCGATAGCTTGCCGAGCTGCTCAGCCCCAATTGACCTCTCTCGATGTAAACAAACCGTCCTTCAACCCACAATCAATAGAGTATTCATTTACTCCCTGCGACCTCCAGGAAAATTGGATGAAATGTGTTATTCCATTACTACGTAAAACTTTGTACTTATCCATTGAAAGTATGATCGTTTTTACGCCATGTTTTCTATGTAGGTACGTGTACTAGTAGTACAGGATTACGAAAGAGTTATTTTCATTTCATTCTTGTAGCTACGAGTACGGGTAATGTGTTGTACCTACTCGAATCTATTTGAACCTTGAAAATATAAAAAAATGTAAACAATATTTATGATGAAATTCATTGCGTGGCGTTAGTGTTGCTTTTGTTCTTTTTTAAGAAAGTCGAAGGATAGAGGGTCTTTCAACAGGTTGGTGGTCGAATAGCGGTTATATTATGTAGGTAGATACATACACCTATGTACTAAAGACCGAAAACTTGTTTCTTTCTCAACTTCGGTTACAGTCGGGTCACGTTCTTTTGAGCGGACGGCAACTGTGTTAATCCTAAAGCTCTTTTAGCACGTGTTTTTTATTTATTTATTTATTATTACACTAGCTTTTATCCGCGGCTTCGCTCGCGTCACAAAAGGATAAAAAGTTGCCTATGTGACATATACCAATATACACAGCGCCATCTATACCAATAATTTCGTTTTCCCTCGAGAATATCAAATTTTTCCGGGATAAAAAGTACCCTATTATTTAATCCAGACTTCTAACTTCACATCTGCAAAAATTCAAAGCAATCGGTTAAGTAGTTACAGCGTGAAAGTGGAACAAACAAACAAACTCACTTTCCGATTTATAATATTAGTAAGGATTTCAGTACAGTTTCAAACCATTTTTTGCACCATTAAACCATAGCTGGTTCGTATTATGTACTCACATTCGCTTAACAAGTTATAAATTTATAAACCCATTCAATATACTTACAAGTGACAATAGATATAACATTTACATACATACATAACACCTTTTACCCTCGAAGGGGTACGCATAGGTGCACATTACGGCACTTAATGCCACTGTACAATGTAACACCCACCTATTACTATTTATGTTACGAGTCCCATGTAATAGGGGGTGAGTCTACTAATACCGGGTACAATTCCGGACTCCATGCTACTACTGAGATTTTTTTATCGAACCTGACCTTGCTCAGCAGTCGCATTTGTGACCACTCGGCCAACGAGGCGAGCAGTTTTTTTTATTGAATGCTTAAATAACATTTTGTATTCATAAAAATCATTTTCAAGGCCAAGCTTACTAGTCTAAATATCTAATTTCTACAATTTTTATATTGTTAAGCATCCTAAAGAAATATACTTGTTATGAACATACCATACAGGGGAGAATTATAAATTGCCACAGCTATGTGATAAGTACAGTTTCTAACAATGTGATAGGTATATAAAGGGACAAATAATAAAATAACAATGCATGCATTTCCATTGCACGTCATGTTACTGTCCAGTGCTCGTCACATTGCACTGTTAGCGGGCAGCGAAGTCTTTTTGCAAACAAACAATTACATGCAACAAACAAGAATAGTTATGGACAGAGCATTTATCAGAACTGTATTAACTTTTACATGCAATAGAAATAATGATACCTATTTCCTTATGGCAGTTGTGCAGAGTACATAAGTAGGTATTGTTAGTTATTTAGAAGAGAGCCGGTTTGGTAAATAAGGTAAATATACAGAAGGTACTTAGCTTTTGGGAAGAAAAACTAAAGGGTGTAGGTACGTTGTAAGATTTTTGCCTTACAAAAACCCCCGGTAATCATCATCAGCACCTATAGGAGCCAATAAATCCTCAAAATATTGCCAAATTCTTCTTAATAGAGGTGTCCCAATTCAGATAAAATGCTGTTGCTAATAACAAGTATGTTAATATATAGAACCTTTTGTACACATCCCTTTCATCACTAATCGTTTAGAATATAACTAAACTTGGACCTAGATTTTATTTATGTTTATAATACCGAATTGTATAATTTTATTTCCATTGAATTCTGTTTATGTTGAAGCACAACGAACGATGGCAATGGTCGTCATATCCTATGAGTTAATAACATTAATTTGAGTATAGGCAAGAGTTGTGGAACTCTCCGCAAATTATAGTCAAAAGTACTTAATTCACGGGTTGTTCGTGAATTAGCTTTTTGCCTGATTGCCTTTTATTTGGATGGGTTGGCACGCAGTGCTAGTTTTCGGCTCTGAGCGTTCACCCGGGAAATTACTTTAAAAGGTTTTATTTTAATTAGTATGATAAACAAACATTCTTTCTCATTTGAGTGCCACTGCTACTATTTGACCAAGGAAAAGGCAGTTATTTTATGATACCTATACCTGCTATCCTTACTATCCTTAGGTACTATATATAATATATATAATATATAATATTATAAATCTGAAAGTGAGTTTGTTTGTTTGTTTGTTTGTTCCACCTTCACGCCGTAACTACTCAACCGATTGCTTTGAATTTTTGCAGACGTAAAGTTAGAAGTCCGGATTAAATAATAGGGTACTTTTTAACCCGGAAAAATTGATATTCCCGAGGAAAAACAAAAGTATTGGTATAGATGGCGCTGTGTGTATTGGTATTGGTATATGTCACATAGGCGACTTTTTATTCTTTTGTAACGCGAGCGAAGCCGCGGGTAAAAGCTAGTATATGATATATGATCTGCCCGCGACTTCGTACACGTAATCCTGTTTTCTCCCGTTCCCGTAGGATTTTCAGGACTTTTTTCTGTCATAAGAACTTTCTCCTGACAATAACAAACAACAAAAAGGATCAGCCAAATCGGTCTTCTCAAGTTTATATATATAGATGATGATCTAAAAAATCAAAGAAACCTTGATAGGGGCGAAGATATTGTAAAAACAATGGGTTTAGCTGATATAATTATACTCGGAATTTTAATTCGATTCCAGATTTGACAATTTCAGTGTGGCAACGTAATGACAAGTACTAAATAGTGACGTTGCGAAATTATTCGATATAGAAATGAAATATTTCTGGATCGATTCTTCTCGTTTATAATAATTATAATTTTACTCTCGTGAACTAAGTATATCAGGATATTAAATATTTCTGAACCGATAATTTAGTTTTGACGATTGTTTACGATCTGAGACGTTTCTTTTATAATTGTGTGTGAAATAAATAAAAAAATGTAATCATGAAGGAACATGACAAATAAAACAGATAGATGTATTATGGTAATAAGTTATTTTATAAATTGTCACCGTCATCGCTATCGCTATCCTGTCACTTTCTGTAACATTTATTATAAAACACACACAATGATTGTTTATCGATTTTTGTGTGCATCACTACACTATTATATGTGGTATCATTATTTCACAAAATGACAGTAGCTATTGTCAAATCTGGAATCTAATTAAAATTCTGACTATAGATATGCAATCGCTTGACAGACACGCAACAATTTCAATTGGGGACTTTTAATCTAAAAACGATTATTGGTACATTACAGCTCAATTACTAATGAAGTTATGTCATAGAAACTACCGTGGTTTACATCAACTGAAGTTATTCTTGGAACATATTTCGGAAGCACGATTTATTGACACGGAAAGCTAGATGCGACCTTACCCAATTCAAAGTCCAGTTTTAAAATAACTATTGCACATAGGGTGGTCGCATTGTTCCGGTAATATTATCTGACTTTTGATCTAGATTGTGAAACAAGTGAATGCATACCGACATTCCTCTACATTTTGGTTAAAACTTAGATTTATATGACAACTAGACAGAATAAGTGAAATCGGTCCAGCCAGCTAGCCAGCTTGGTCACACGTGATGCCGTGACAAAGGGAAAAAGGGATTTATTTTTACATAATATAGATTCAACTTTCCTTTAACTGTAGGTCAGGTGTTTTCGTTGCGTAATTCAACAATTTCATAAATAACATAACATCACGCCTTTTATCCCCGATGGGGTAGGCAGAGGTGCACATTACGGCACTTAACGCCAACTGTAGAATGTAACACCCCACTTTTCACTTTTTATGTCATGAGTCCCATGTAATAGGGGGTGAGCTTAATGCCACATACCGAGCACAATTCGAGACTCCGTGTTACTACTGAGACTTTTTTAAAAATCCAGTAATACTTTGCCTTACCCGGGAATCGAACCCAAGACCCACCCGGCAATCGCACTTGCGACCACTCAACCAACAAGGCAGTCAGTCAATTTCATAAATATGTGATTGTAAATAATGTACGTAGCTACACAACAGACTAATAAATACTAACCTACTAAAGTACTAATGGTAATTGGTTGCGTTAAACCTCAGTTGGACGGTTTAAATCTTTCTTCTATCTGCAACATTAAAGCAGGGACCTAATTGATATCGTCTACCGCATGTTTCATGTGGTTCAATGGTAAATACAGTTTACCATTGCCAAGTAAACAAACATGGTTGGCTGATAATAATAAACACACAACTCCAACACAGATTTAATGATTTACAAGAATTATTACAAATACACGCATATTTTGTTGTTGTAAAGTTATGTTCACAGTTCACTCTGTATTTAGTTAGAGATTATTTAACCTTTTCAATACTGTCATTATAGACACAATTAAAGAGTCGCGGTGAACCTAACGGGTAACCTGGGCTCCGGCTCGACGTGCAGGAGAAGGAACGGGGTGGTTTTTAGTCAGCAAGAGTCTGACACTCCCTCCCGCCTCACCCAGGCGTGAGCAGTCATTCGATGATTTTCCCCCCATAAAAAACACCCTTAAAGAACAATATGTTTATAATTGTGTTTTTTAAGTGTATTAAAGTTTACCTGCCTAGGTAAATTGGCACCTGCAATTACATACAAGTTACGAAAAATTGATTTGATTTCATCATCATCCTACTTGCGCAATAAATTATAAAATAATATGGATTCACTGATTCACTTTCCAAAAAGGAGAAATACTTGAACAGCCAAATTTGGAAAATACGGGTCGCGATACCGAATTCTGATATTTGCAAACCAATGAATGAAGAAACCAAACAATATTTAATATTTTCCTTTTATTAACTATTTTTTTCTTGTCCACAGAATTTCCTGATAGCCATTATCGTGGGGGCTATGGTGGACTTCGTGGTCGGTACTGTAATGGGGCCGAGCAGCGATCAGGAAATGGCCAATGGATTCGTCGGACTAAGCAGTAAGTACGCGGAAGTAGCGTCGGAGTAAGCAGAAGATGGGTCCAAAGTCCTAAGGACTAAGCAGTAAGTACTTAGGACTTTGGACCCATCTTCAAAGGAAAATGTGCCAAGTTCAGTTTCTGATAACGTCATACGATTAGTCATTTACCCACTGCTGATATAATTTGAGGAAAATTTCGCCATTATTACTACTGTATTTTTGCTCAAAACATAAAATAAATACAAAATACGAATAATATTTATCTCTTTGGAGTTCTACGTACTTAGGTCACGGTGACCTTAGGTACCATCAGACGGTCCGTAAGCTTTATTTGTACCTATAGAATTATTGATAGTATCATACCTCTCCCTATTAGGTATATTTTGTCAATGTCTTACATAATTATTAAATCAAACAGTTATGTAGTTAAAATTAGATACATAGATAAATGCCGATTGAAACACCGTTCATCATCGTTGGTATCTCCATCTCTTATGTCTTATTTATACCACTCATTACAAATTTACAAGGGTGGACCTTCCAAATGATGAGGCCCAATTACCCTCCCCCCTCCCCAATCTCCCCAATCCCTGAATCCCCAACGATCCTCAAACTCCTAATCCCCAAAAGGCCGGTAACGCACTTGTAACGCCTCTGGTGTTCCATGTGTCCATGGGCGACGCCGATTGCTTACCATCAGGTGATCCGTGTACTCGTATACTGACTTATGCCATAAAAAAAAAATTAAACGACTACTAAATATCCTGCAGTGTACCCTCAGCCTTACACTAGTAAGGAATTATAATGTTTATATAACAAGCAGTAGATGTTTATAAGAGTTTCCTCTCAATTCCAGCGGCCACGCTATCGGCTAACTTCAAACCAGACTTTCGGTTCAGCGAGGGTTTGAACCAAGACTTCTTCAGCGTATTCGCCATATTCTTCCCCTCAGTCACCGGTATCCAAGCTGGAGCTAACATTTCAGGAGATTTGAAGGTATGTAGTGCATAAAACTTTTTTTACTATGGGAGAAGTCTAGCTTTTATTCCAATGAGTTAATTCTTCTCCGGACTCCAAACTCGGTACATATATGAGAATTTTCCAGAAGAGCAGTTGAGTAAATATAACGAAACTCTATTTTCTAATTACTTATAAAAATCGTGGGTTTATTTTAGTCCAAAAAGTCGATCGCAGTAAAGCAAAAATTTGTAATCTATTTGATTTTTGATTATATATAAAACAATAAGTCAAAAATACTTAAAATGACATTGTACCTACAAGTAACCTACACAATTGGATTGTTTCGTTATAAACGCCCCCATAATAAGAATAGATACTGCTGGTTCTAATTTAAGGACACTGCTATCACTTTCCTAATTGTTTCGCAGATATCGTTAATTGATTCTTGGATATAGGTACTTTACTACTATAATTTTATTCCCAGAACACCTTCGTAGGGAAACTCTACGCCTTCACCAGGTTATTAATGCGTAGGTATATCTAAATTACGGAGTTGTCTGTTTAATTGATTGTTCAACAGTTTAATGGAAATCTATCCTGAAAGGTTTATTTTTAGATCAAGCTTAATTATGTAGGTTCATAAGCCACGTAGATCGATGACTTTCGTATACGGGAAGATTGTTCGAAATAAAAATTACTATGAACTTCAGTTGCCATACTAATATTTTCAATACAAACACTGCAAATGAAAATATAATGGAAATGCAGAAGAAGGTAATTAACAAATAAATAGAATCTCTATTTAAAGCCGGGAAGCATGTCAGCACGTGGTACTGCAATCGATCCACAAGTAATGTTTGCGAAGCAGAGCACGCACGCTCAGCGTCCACATCCCTGGCTCCGTACTCCGTACATTCTTAAACACGTGTAATCAGTGTCATTGACAGCGCAACGTGACGTCATCACTGTTATACGTCACGGGCTTACTGTAAACAAATGAATCATTGAAATACTAACAACATCGACCGATGCTAAGAAATTTTATTGAGAAAGGGATAGTCCATATAAATGGTTGTATGACAATGACATGTTATAATGGAATATGAATAATATTATATTTAAAACCACTGCTTCAGTAAGATAGATATCAAAAATAATTAGTATTAAAAGTAATATGGCTATAAATGGTAAATTACTACCTATCATCGACATAAATAAAAATGTTCTTTATTTTATAATATCGTAAATGATTTGAATATTAATTCGAAACGGATATCAATCGTAGGTATTTTCATTTTGTTTAGAGGTATATTGGTCTTTTCAACCACGTATTCGTGACGATCGTTTGCACGGGGAAGCACACGCATTGTGCACGTGACGTCAGTAGCCGGTGTCACTGTGTCACTCTCAGCGCAGCGTGTCATCATAGCTACCCTGAGTGACGCGTATATACCAAAAAGGCAGGAAGGAAAAGATATTGACCAAAACACTAACTTAGAGCATTGTACAGACATCTCAATTTTTAGACAATATTTTCATCACAACATGATTGAGATATTAAAACAATCTGCATGATTTGATGGAGCAAAGTCTAAAGATCGTTAGAACTGAATTTAGCCAGATTTTGATGCAGCTCCAGGGTACAAGTCAATAGCAATGTCAAACAATCGAATCATATAAATACTTGATGCGACCAGTAACAATATTATTTGAAAGTCCAATTAATGTGTTAAATTCGCGTGGCACAAATCGAATGAAACGAGCTCAACATGGAGTTCAATTTAATTAACCTCGCTATTTTTCGGTGTCTTATTCCTTGGCTCAAAGACTCATCGATTCATTAAAATCAATTGATATAGTGTCGGCTGTGACTGTGAGTCATCTCTATTCCTGCCAAACGAAAAATGATAAACAAGATACTCAATTCTGGGAAAGTAAGTTGTTCATCGAAGCCGGGACTGATATGTTTATTTACGGGGCAAACCATTCATTTCTTCCCCGTAAATTAGGTAAAACCGGTGGAACATTATAAACGTTATATTATTGAGAGAGTGACTTCATCAACTATTCGTTAAATGAAATCTTGGAAGGTGACCTTTTGTCAATTGAAAACAGGTCGAAACTTCAAACGCTTCGATAAATTTGTGGAAAATAATTCAAATAAATTAATCTTGATAGTGTGCAAATTCAAATAACAATACCTAATACCTAGAATATAAAAATTGGAAAATTTGCAGGACCCAGCGTCAGCCATTCCAAAAGGCACATTACTTGCGCTGCTCATATCTATGGTGAGCTACGCGTTGATGGTGCTCTTCTCTGGCGGAGGGGCTCTGAGGGACGCTAGTGGAAATCTGACTGACTTGGTGTTTGCAAACGGCACCGTTGTGGACTACAGCGGTTTAGCCAGCTGCATCACTAATAACGGCACAAACATCACCTGTAAATATGGACTGCATAACAGTTACTCGGTAAGTTTTAAAGGTCCTACCGCATTTAGGACGAAAATAAGTGTTTCTTTCTCATGGCATGTTTGTAACTATATAATTAGATATAATTATACTATTTTAATTATACATTCCAAGGAGAGGCTAAAGTGAATTGTTTACTTAATTCTTTTTCTCTGAACCAAAATTTGATTCCCCATTCGCACCAGGTGATGCAACTGATGTCGGCCTGGGGTCCATTCATCTACGGCGGTTGTTGGGCAGCCACGCTGTCCACTGCTCTGACCAACCTGCTCTCGGTACCGCGTCTCATCCAAGCGTTGGGCACTGACCGCATCTACCCTGGACTCATATTCTTCTCCAAGCCCTATGGAAAGTACGGAGAGCCATATAGAGGATATGTGCTGACTTTCTTCGTGTCCTTGCTGTTTTTGCTTATAGGTAAGTTGTACGAGTAAAATATTGTTCTACTTCCAAAAAGGAGGAGGTTATCAATTCGGTAGTATGTTGCTTTCAAAAATATTATCAAACTAGCTAACAATTCAATACCTATATATTGTGTTATATTTATTGTGAAATGAATATTTCATTTCGTGGTTTTGAAAAAATTGACTCTCCCATTCCCACAGTTTTCTACCCGTACTTATACAATGGCTGTCTAGTGAAGTTTCAGTGATAAAAAATATTCTATGTTTGCAAATCATATCATCAAATGATTCCTTATCTGAAGTTGAAAAACTTTTTGTAACTAAACAAGGGTAAATACATCGGGAATGAATCGAAATCAAATAAATATTTTGTTCCGCAGCTGATTTGAACACGATCGCGCCTCTGATATCGAACTTCTACCTCGCATCGTACGCCCTCATTAACTTCTGCACCTTCCACGCGGCACTCGTGCGACCGCTGGGATGGCGACCTACATTCAGAGTAAGCACAACCATAAATATCATACCTACATTGTTATTCAAAGCTAAATTCAATAACAATGACTCACACACAAAAATACAACAAACACCCCAAGAGTTTTTTTCGGAGTAACATCACTATTAAGCCGAAATCTGTTTATTTTATTTGTATAATGACTTTGTTTATAATTGCACGATGTGGTATCAAATTAGTGTTTATTCTAATTTACAACTTGACATTTACTTACCTACCTACAGAATTTACAAGTTGAATGAAGCTGTTTTTGGTTGGATTTATTCTATAAGTTTAGGTCAACAAAACATCTAATATCAGCAAACCTGTTTCATTCATTTAAAATCTAAGATATTCTTCCGAAACAGGGTCAACAACATTTAATAATAAAAGAAAGCCATTTGATCCTGCAATGCGGCTTTAAACTGGCAACAAAATAATTATAGAATTTAATGTCTCAAAGCTGTTCAACATATACTTTGCTTCCAGTATTACAACGTGTGGCTGTCTCTCATCGGGTTCCTGAGTTGTGTGGCCATAATGCTGCTCATCAGCTGGGTCATGTCACTTGTGACCTTCGCCATCTTCTTTACTCTCTACCTCATCGTACACTATAGAGATCCTGGTCAGTATAACTAATACTAGCTTATCCTTCAATTTGTTTGCTGTTTCTCCTGTGGTGGTTTTACTACGGTGGTTTTACTTGATCAGTGCTACAAAAGACAATGAGTACCTAGTTCTTTATAAAAGCAATAGAGTGTTTTAACAACAGTTCGTATCACCACCCACACATGTACGTACGTAGGTTAGGTACATAAATACATACAAACATACATACGTAGGTAACTAAGCTAAACCATAAAGTGTAAGTGGAATAACCAGAATAGCCGATGTTGACCTGATCTAAATCCGGACTGGACGTCTGAACTCCATGAATGATTGCATCATTTGCTCCTTACCCGCACATATTTGATGCATATCGGTAACCTCTGTACGTTTCAACGTTCCTTTGTATATAATCCCGTTTCCGAAAGTTATTATAAAACGAATTCTCTACAGTATTGGCACGTCCAATGTGAGTCATTCTGTACTCATATTGTGAAAGGATCCATTTGCAAAACACGTGATTATATACTTATTTAGATGTAAATTTATGTCAAATAAGTAGTAAAACCAAATATAAGTATTTCGCGAAGTTATCAACACGCGCGTCTTCTACAAATATGAAATTAAGCTTTTTAGTAACCAGAATTTCACAATACCAATTACAGATGTAAACTGGGGCAGCAGTACTCAAGCCCAAATATACAAGACAGCTCTGTCGAGCGCCTACAACTTGGCGAAGACAGGTGAACACGTTAAAAACTACTGGCCACAACTTCTGGTGCTGGCAGGCCGGCCGCAGTCGAGACCAGCGTTAGTTGACCTCGGCAACCTCATCACAAAGGCTGGCTCGTTAATGATAGTGGGAGACATATCACAGGTAATTGTTACCACATTTGATAAATGGACTAATTACAAATGAATTTGATTAAGATATTTAGAGCACACAATTTAGAACATGTTGGCTTAACCACAGATAGTGGGATAGGAAGAAGCAATGCAGTAATGTGGACATAACTTTTTTCAGGAACGCGTGTCATACAAGGAGCGGTCAGTACGCTTGCGTGCTGATGCAGAATGGTTGCGGCTACGGAAGGTGCGCGCGTTCTGCTCGCGCGTGCACGGCTTCGGCTTCGAAGCTGGAGCGCGCGCACTCGTACAGGCGGCCGGTGTCGGCCGCCTCGCACCCAACGTGCTGCTCATGGGGTACAAGACAGATTGGACTACCGCACCAGCTGAAGACCTTGTCGCTTACTTTAATGTGCTGCAGTAAGTTTACTATTCCAGGCCATTTTACTGCAACATTGTCACTAGCCTTCATTCTTAACTCTGTCGACCTACTTGTTCTGTGCAGTACTGCATTCGAGAGTCGTCTAGCAGTGGCGATAGTACGCGTATGCGGCGGACTAGACTATGGCCCACTGAGCGCTGAGACGGCAGCCAGCAGCTCGCTGACGGGCACGTCGAGCGGGTCGCACGACGAGCTCCGCGTGCGGCGTGCGCCACTCATCATGCACGCGGACTCCGACCTCGACATCACGCGCGCCGCCGACCAGCCGCGACACAACCTCTCCAGTACGTTGCCACTAGACGCTACTGATAGTAAGTACTGCTCATCCAACTCGGGATGGTGGTGGTACTAGCTTAACTCATTCCTTAGAATTAATACAGATACAGCTGTCGACGCTCGTGCAATTTACAAAGTCATCGGAACAAGAGTAAGTACTTACTTTATTAAGGCAGGTATCCATGACTTCTATTTACAACGCAGTAACAGTAAGTATGAGTAAATAAAAAACCTAACATTTTCCGGAATTGTTCCGGTAAAACACAACAGCACAAGGACGTGCTGTTCATTAAGTACTAAAGGTCACACGATTTCCGCTGATCATTTTCCTTATCAAATGTTTCTGCACAGGTATATTGACGTTGTCGACCTCACGGTCGTTCACGATATCCGAGACCAACAGCACGAAAGAACGAAAGAAGAAAGACAAGAAGAATGATATGCACAGACAGATTGTGTACAACACGTCCACTGGCTTGGAATTATCCAAGGACCAGTTGACACAGATGACAATATTCCAGAGAAAACAGGTAAATTACCATCATTAGATCATTATTTCATTGAAAAAAAGAACACATAAATAATGTACATTCTTATTTATACAAGTCGCAAACGCGATTGCTAAGCAAAGAGAGTGTCGCACGATGCAATGACTAATTTCTCAAATGTTTTCCAGGAGGCAGGTACCTTAGACGTGTGGTGGTTGTACGACGATGGTGGTCTGACGATCCTGCTGCCCTACATCATCTCACAGCGTTCCACTTGGAGCAATTGCAAGCTGAGGATCTTCGCGCTTGCCAACAGACTGCATGAGATGGAATTGGAAGAGAGAAAGTAAGTAATAAAAAGTAATTGTTTTGAGCGCTACCTAAAATTGTTTACCAAATATGCTAATATTTTAATTTATTTCTAGTATGGCTAACTTGCTGGCAAAGTTCCGCATAGACTACTCTTCACTAACGATGGTGCAGGACATCACCGACCCACCGCAGCCTGAAACCACGAAACTCTTTGAAGATATTACCAAGAAATTCACTGTCGAATCGGCAAATCCCGGTAAGAGCAATAAAATGATGTATCGAACCAGATTGACCAAATGGTACTCATTTCGTAGTTGGATAAATTGTCAAAAGTTATTTTCGAAGAAGGTTGTTCGGAGAATGCCCCGTGCTTTATAAAACTCATATTAAGAATGTCTCATGTATTTGTTCCTTTGAATTTTAAAATTCTGAAAATAGAGACAGAGACAGATTTTTCAAAACTTATTATTTTCTTACAGACTGTTGCATCAGCGAAACAGAGCTGCTTACATTAGCAGAAAAGACGAAACGCCAGCTGAGGCTACGCGAACTGTTGCTCGCTAACTCTAAGGACGCTCGTCTAGTCGTCATGTCCCTGCCTATGCCTCGAAAGGTTCGTATTCAAACTTAGTCTGACCTAGATCTTCTTACTTGACAATTTTCTGATCTATTCTTCCTTATTTCCAAATTGTATTCCTGCGATTCATTCTCTAATTCTTTTCTGCTATCTTGGTCCGTGTAGACGGTATGTATTTTGCTTTTAAAGAATTAGAAGTCTATTTGGCACCACAGAGGGAGTGTAGAGAAAATCTTTTTAAATTTGCTTTAATTTTTTTCTTACAACAAATTTTACTAGCTTGCAATACGCCATATTTTATTTCATTATGTTTAAGGACCACATAATAATACCTACTTTTGAAATTTTTACATTCGTAGCGAGGCTTGTAGCTAATTTCTGAGAAACTTAGAATATTTGAAATACATTTTTGTATTGTTTTATCGCAGGGTTCAGTGTCTGCCCCGCTATACATGGCGTGGTTGGAGATGATGAGCCGCGACATGCCGCCAATGATGTTCGTGCGTGGCAACCATACCTCCGTGCTCACCTTCTACTCTTAAATTATTCTATTAAGTTACTCTTACTACCACAAATACAGACTACTCAATAGTACTTACCAGTATTCCTGAGGACGTATTTGCTACTCGCTGATACCTTTCTGTAACTGCCACAATGTAAAATATTCTTTGCGAATTGATCCGTACCTATCATCAATAAATTGATAGACTCTCTTTTCTTAAATGGTTACTTAAATTTATTATGTATTGAATCTCTTTTCGAACAAATATCGAATACAATCTAAAAATATAATTTTAGAGTATCGAGTTCCATTATGGCAGTATTTTAAAGAATCATTATTGAAATAATCTTGACTGCATGATTTTACTTACGTGTTAGAATGACTGTGACATCCTGTAGATATATTTTTTTTTGTAATAGAATAGAAGTACATTTTCATAGTTACCGTTACTATCAGTACAATATTAAAATGCAAACAACAATTATAATTATTCAATACAAGAACACTTGTTTGTACTTATCATTATAATGCAGCATTTTATCAATAATGTTAAGACACTAAATAGGAAAATACTTAGTTAATGTTAATTAGAATAAGAGAAAAACATTGTAGATTTATGGTTTTGAAAAACCAATAAAATGAACAACATGTTTTACCAAAGCACAATACAAGTATTAATGTAATAATTATTTATGACTTTAATTTAGAAATATCTTTTTATTTACCTAGGAAAGTCTTAGACACAAATAACATTTTAAGTATTTTGACTCAAACTTCAGTTACACAATGAACTTATTTGAGTGTTTAGGAATAGACATATTGTTAAAGAACCTGGATCTGATGCACCTACAAAATAGGCAAGTTACTTAAACGCATCGCATTTAAATTTTAGTCCAACATATTTTACGCAGGACCCAAGATTGACCCTTGTGGAACACCAATGGATTTTAAGGATTTGCATAATCCAACTAACCAACTAGATGTATTAGGGTTTTTTTATAACTTGTTTCATGATTTATAATTATAGTTAACTTATTGACACAATTAAATATGGAATTGACACAATAGATATTTGTTAATCGATTCAAACATAATGTACAATTTTTGAACAAGCCACAAGTATGAATACTATATGTTTTATGTTCTTAGCGTCTATGTACTTTTTATAATTTATTTAGAATATTTTTACTGTTACTATTATTATATAGATATAGATTAAGTAGATTAAGTTAGATATAAGTGATTTGTGATTTACTTTCGAATCTGTTTATTTTTATAGTTCGTTAACTTAATAATTATAATTTTAATATTTGTTACGTAATTCACACTATGCTCTCAATGTTGCGATGGAGACGTTGTATGTAACTTATTTCAATCCATTTAATTTGAATAGAAAGACAATCCAATTTTTGCAATAAATTATGTTATCAATATTTACATTCGTTTAATTTTCAGTATTTTATATTTTAGTTTGCTAGTTTATAGACTGCCTCATTGGCCGTGTGGTCGCAAGTGCGACTGCCGGGCAAGGGGTGTCGGGTTCGATTCCCGAGTCGGGTAAAATAATACTGGGTTTTTAAAAAAAATCTCAGTAGTAGATCGAAGTCTGGAATTGTGCCCGGTATATATGGCAATAGGCTCGCCCCCTATTACATGAGACTCATAACATAAATAGTGAAAAGTGGGTGATACATTGTACAGGGCATAATGTACACCTCTGCCCACCCCTTTGGGGATAAAAGGCGTGATGTTATGTTATGTTTATAGTTTATGTGTCTGTCAACGTAGGGAAAAGGTGAAGAAGTTCACTGAAATGTAAGAGGTACATTTTAGCTGCCTTTAACCACTCACCTCTTTCGCCTCTTTCACCTCCTTCTACCGCTTCCATCTTCAACCATCTGTATAAAACCAAATCGTAAAAAAATATAGTAAACAATCTACTAACAGCCAAGTTCAATAACCGATCTCAATCTTTAGATTAAGATCGATTTTATATTAGTTCTATGGAATTTTAATCGGTCGGTAATAAAAATTGGCAATAAATAGCGCTATCCGCCAACAACAGTGTTACATATACTACAGAACTATAATTACTAAAGTACAGAAAACAATGGTCTATTACATAGGTATAGCAAACAGAATTTTCTTCTATAATGTCATAGAAAAAAATGTGATCCCTTATTTACTTACTAAAGTTCTGAAAGATAACATTAATAGTTAGTAAATCACAGTACGTAGGATAACACATGAATAGTGTTTTAATTTAAAAAATGTGTTAAAGTAAACAAAAAGAGACGATACTTATATCGTCGAGGTACATAGCTAATAACGACGAGTGTATCATGAAACGTAAGCAAACTGTATGAAAATGTTATCCGTAATGTTAACCTATTGGCTGTTAGAGTACCTACTAAAATTTTGGCTTTACACTTTGCTATCTAGGTAGTTTACCCGCCAAACTTTGGTCAGTGGGAGTATCCTTAGAGTCGGACTTCTTGAAAACAAACACGTTCCATTCTTTGGCGCAATCGTCTGAACTTGAAAATTATAAAGTTAGAAATCGTACTTCTATTATAAAGTTAGAAATCGTACTTCTATTATAAAGTTAGAAATCGTACTTCTATTATAAAGTTAGAAATCGTACTTCTATTCAATTTGTAATAAAAAATCCCGAAGACTCATTCCTACGAACTGATTATATTGAATACAACGCTGATTGCCCCCTGAGTTAGTCAAAACTACCATACGATACGAACAATTATGGTCTCGCAGACCAAACAACGGCATCTAAGGGTTAATTATGTCGCGGAGAACCTAACGGGTAACCGGGGCTCCGGCTCGACGTGCAGGAGAAGGAACGGGGTGGTTTTTAGTCAGTAAGAGTCTGACACTCCCTTTCGCCTCACCCAGGCGGGAGCAGTCATTCGATGATTTTCCCCCCTTAAAAAAAAAAATAAAAAAAAAAGGGTTAATTATCAAATAGAAAAAAAATATACGAGGATCCTAAGTGGACAATCAGGTAAATTATTATAAATCTTACATTAAACGATTATATTATTCTAAGATACATTGTTCTAACTGTTTAGTGCGTCTAGTTTCGTATATCATAGGATGTGCAAATAGCCGATATTGTTGGTAAAAAATATTAAAACCGTACTTCATCTTAAGTAACTACCACTCGAAGTAAACGAAAATAATAAACACATGCATCCATATATTATGTATGTGTTGTAGCTCAGTCGGGAGTTCAAATTATTATACTGGTGAATAAGCTGAAGTAACCGGTGGAGTGCGGTACTGAAGCAGTTCCTACGAGACCGTGCTCGAATCTTCACATCGTTAATTAGTGAAGTTTAATTATTTCATATTGAAACGAGTTCCTGTGTCGAAGCTGAAATTATATACCTATTATAGTAAAGAATAACTAAGATATTACATGCCTCTACAATGGACGAACGCTTGATAAAAAGTTACGATTATGGTAAGTGGGCACTTAAATATTTTAAAGGGTTTTTTTTATGCTATAAGCCGGTAAATGAACAGACGGATCACCTGATGGTAAGCAATCGGCGACGCTCATGGACACCTGGAACATTAGAGGCGTTACAAGTGCGTTACCGGCCTTTTGGGGATTAGGAGTTTGAGGATCGTTGGGAATTCAGGAATTAGGGAGATTGGGGAAGGGGAGGGTAATTGGGCCTCCTTACCGGAGGCCCAATTACCCTCCCTTTCCCCTTACTCACACGACGAAACACAACGCAAACGTTGCTTCACGTCGGTTTTCTGTGAGGCCGTAGTATCACTCCGGTCGAGCCGGCCCATTCGTGCAGAAGCATGGCTCTCCCACACTTAAAATAGAACAATATTGTGAACCTGATTGAAAAAGAGTAACCTATAGAGTTTCCTAGGAATGAGCAAACAGCTTTACTTTAATTTTTTTGTTGACGTCCAAAGGTGCCTTCTTGGTGAAATTGAAATAAATGATTTTGACTTTAACTTTGAATAATTAGATCTACTTTATTGTTATTAGAAATTAATAACTTGAATGCCAATATTTAAGCTTTTTATTCTATCTTTTTATTTGGAACTGTATTTTACAATTTTAGGGCGTAAAATTCATATTTATTGATTGGTTCTTTTAAATGAAATACTCCGTTATAGGACAAGCTACACATCCTAGTTGCCACATACCAGAATCCTCGTATGAACTTCAGGATACCAGCGGACGTTTATTGGTAAATTCTAATAATTTCCTTTTAAAAATATTTGTAGTTTAATTAAGTCCAAGTGGGAGTTATGGCCTTCGAATGAGACTGAAAAATAATTAAAGAGGTATAAGAGATAACAGATACCTAATTCCCTATTTTTAAAAATATGTTTATTAGAAAACACATTTGTAATAAAATAAAAATAAATATCATTAACGTACTAAATTAAAGTAAAATTGGAAAACGTAAGCTGGCTATTACTAGTTTTAGCTAGTACCTACCAAGGTGTTCTACAGTTTCGATGGGTGTTAGTTTCATTGCTTTCATTTTTGTCATTCATAGTCTGGACATGTGCCCGGTATATGGCAATAGGCTCACCCCCTATTACATGGGACTCATAACATAAATAGTGAAAGAGTGGCATTAAGTGCCGTAATGTGAGCCTCTGCCTACACCTTCGGGGGTAAAAGGCGTGATGTTATGTTATGTTAGTTTCATTGGCGATAGAAACACACGAAACTCCAGTTCTTTCAAGCCGGTTAAAACTGGAAACGAAAACGTTGCTTGAAAAAACAGAGATTTCATTTCGTTCTCAATATTTGAATGTTTTCTTTTTACATCAGTCAACCAATAAGAGTAACGAGGTTCCAATTCCAGAACTGAATATGTATGGTGACATCAAACTAGAAGGAAACTTTACCTGTATGCTAAAGTTTAATGTTTAAGTATTATATTTTTCTGTCTGTTTTAGTCTCTGGTCTGACCTGGACTTAAATAACACAATACCTCTTCTCATTTATTTAACGTAATACTATTTTTTCACTAGTTACAACTGGAATTGTGTAACTAGGTATAGTTTTTGGTTGATACATTACAATATTTTTTACCGTAGGGCGTCAATACTATGTTTGCTGAACATATGGGGCGTGATGCTGTTCCTCCGCAATTCCGCATCGCGTGGGTGGTGGGGCAGGCCGGCATCGCCCTCTCCTGCCTCATCGTCTTCATAGCTGGCGCGGTCTGCGTTATCACCACGCTCTCCTTAAGCGCTATCTGCAGTAATGGCGAACTACCTCTACAGGGAGGTACATTTTATATTTATTCTGTCTTATTCACCTAACAGTAAAAATACGTGTGGGATAGCCATGCTTCGGCACGAATGGGCCTGGTTGACCGGAGTGATACCACAGAAACTTCAGTTTAAAAATTCTAGAAATGTTTGAATTATTTATTTAATTAGTTACGTGCTCCTTCGTAGACCGCATCATCGCTTACCACCAGGCGAGATAGTGGCCAAACGTCGGTGTCGGCCCATCAAACATATTATATAGTATATAAAAATAATGTTAGCCTTTTACTATATATATCTCAAATTAAGTATTTCAAAGCACTAGCTGCTAAAGACAAGAAGTAGATATGCAATACTAAAAACCTTTTTTGTAGGTGGAGTATATTTCCTAGTATCAAGATCTTTAGGAGCAGAACTAGGTGCATCCGTAGGAATAATATTCGCATTCGCTAACGCTGTAGCTGCAAGTATGAACACTATTGGTTTCTGCGACTCTCTAAATGAGTTGCTAAAGTCATGTAGTGTTAAAATAATTGATAATGGTCCCAATGACACGCGGATAGTTGGTGCTGTCGCTTTGTTCGTTATGTGTGTCATATGTGCTATTGGCATGGATTGGGAAACAAAAACACAAGTAAGTACTTAGTACTCAATCCATAGTTACCATACTTTAATTGTGAGGAATTAGTTGTCTATCAAGTCTATCATACTCCTTACTTCTTCTTTTTAAAATCGGTTCTATTAATACATATCAATTTTTGACTATTAGGCAAAAGCTACATAATAGTCAAAAATTGGTATGTGAATTTTTGACTATTAGGTAGCTTTTGCCTTTCACAACCGACTGGGTATTATTTTAAATGCCCGTGGCTAGGATTTTGGGTTTTTGTTTATCTTTAAGATGATTAATGAATGATGACTGCTGTCGTAGATATTATGTCCAGGATTTTTGACAATTATTGGTAGAGTAAATTAGTATTTACTCTACGTATAGGTAGGTAGGTAAGGTATAGGTGTAGTCACCTATACAGTAAAATTGTTCTACTTGAATGGTCTTCGTTTATATTTCAGAACCTGTTAATAGTGGTCATAGTTACAGCAATAACAAACTTTATACTGGGCGTCGCGATAGGACCACGCTCTGATGAAGCGAGATCACGCGGCTTTGTTGGTCTCAGAGGTAAGATTTTGAATTTTTTGTCACCTACAATTCGAATGAGGTTCTTTGACAAAACTTGTATGTCTTAAAGGTAAGTAAACAAAAATATGCATATCAGCCTGTTTTATCCTGAAAAGGTAACAAAACTTGCATCTCATGCAGTACCTAGGTATTAACTCCAAGTGGTGATAAGTACGATCCTTACACACTTCTTTAGTGTATCACATTTCATCATATTCTTACAAGCATACCTACCAGTTAAGAGTACTTAAAATTTGTGACGTTACAGTGAAACAGGGCAAAGAGAATTGGAATCCAGATTTTCGCTTCAGCGAGGGTAAAGACCATAACATATTCACCATGTTCGCTATTTACTTTCCCGCCGTTACTGGTGTACAAGCAGGCGCTAACATTTGTGGAGATCTTAAAGTAAGTAGAGATTTTACATGAATTTTTCCTATTAAAATAATCGTAATGAAGGTTTACAATACCTTAAGGTTTACGAAGGTTAATAATCTGAAGGTTTACGATGTGGCTTGTCATAAAATCTCCTTCAGTCCTGAAAAAAGTAGGTGTCTTAATATTAGTTATAATGTGTAGGAGCTTCTTTTTGTTTTGGAATAACTGCGCAGAGGCTCTTTAGACTACTTTAACTCGTCGAGTACCGGTTTTATAGACACAATTAAAGAACAATAGGTCGCGGTCACCGGTGACCGCTTGGTGTTTGACAGTTTAATCAAAATGCAATGAGCACACAAACCGAGATCACAGTAAGCATTTTACGATAAAGACTTGTTCCAGGATCCAGCGACTGCCATACCAAAAGGGACTTTACTGGCGATTGCAATATCGCTGACATTATAATAGGCAATGGTAATACTCTCTCGGGCGAGTGCCCTAAGGGACGTGTCCGGTAATTCATCAGACCTTATTAATAGCACCCTAGGAAACTGCAAACCTTCGTGTCACTACGGTCTTCATAACAGTTACGAGGTTAGTATAAATTTTATTGTAAATAAATTATAGTTTTTTTTAATGTTACTTATTAATTCTCCACGGACTCTTGGTCCATGCCCTTGTGATACTAATTTTTATTACAATCAATATTTATGAAGTACCAAGTTACACACTAGAATTAAAGACAACTATATTTATTACTAAAAAAAATACATAATAATTACTTTTTATCCATTTATGTATATTTCTTTCTACGTTGCTACGTTGGCTGATTCCAGTAGAGCTGACCTGAACTGACGATAGTCCAAAAATAAATAGGTTATTTTCTATATCTACATATTTCTGCAAACACTTTTTCTCATGTTGCTTCCGTTTTATCATAAGGAACATTCGTAGTTAAGCATTGATTTTTGTTCAGTCCAAAAGTCCAAAATACGATCTGTTGTACTGATATGAGGCGATCTGTTGTAGTCAGGAAACCTATTGTATCAGGGCTCCCCTGATTTACGCTGGGTGCTGGGCTGCGACGCTATCCACAGCGCTCACCAATTTACTATCAGTACCGCGACTGATCCAAGCACTGGGTTTTGATAGAATATACCCTGGTCTGATCTTCTTCTCCAAGCGATATGGCGCTCACGGTGAACCTTACCGAGGATATGTGCTCACATTTTTGGTGTCACTATGTTTTCTGCTCATTGGTAATTATTTTTCATTTCATTTCTCAGTCACCATCCGACCATTTTTGTCTACTTATAAAAATAGGCGTTTTAACTAACAAGTCACTGAGTTCAATCTTTAACAAACTAACGCGAGCCCACCTAACAGCGCGCCTTCATTTCACACGTAGTCATTTAAATTGAACACAGCAAGATTGGAGCCGTGTAGGTACTCTTTTCTGATGAGTCTAAAATTATGTTACATGGCAATGATGGAAGGAAGAAGGTCTACCGACGTAAGGGAGAGCGTTTCGCACAATGCTGCTTTGAAGAGGGAGTTGCTTATGGCGGTGGCTTATGGACTGTCTGGGGCGGTATATCCGCGAGCGGCAAAACTCAACTTGAGGTTATTACAAGATCACAGCCCAAGTTTCCTTTTTATGCTTGATAATGCAAGAGCCCATGCGGCCGGCATCGTCAGGGAATATCTTCGGGATGTGAACATCACAGGTATGGACTGGTCAGCCAGAAGCCCATACATGAACCGCATGTGCATGCCTAATCGTATGAGAGCTGTGGTAGATGCCCATGGAAGCAACACCGGTTATTAAATTAAACCTTTATTTGATAAAACATGTTTTTTATTCAAAAATCAATTGCCTTTAACAAGGCGCATATCCGATTTGTTAGGCGTAGCTCCATGTCGTACAATACGATCGAAAAATTTGGTAAAATGTATCAGGTTTAAAACTGCATCAACAGTTTTTGTTCAATCTAGCAATTATAATTCGGTTAGGGCCATCGAAACCTAAACTCTAAGGTGGGCCAATAGATGTGTCCAGAAGTGTATAATGATGATGATGAAACAAACTTCGATTATCTACACCTACTTACTAACTTATTGTGTTGTCTTCAGTATGGCAGCCATTCTGAAGAGGTACCGCATAGATTACTCCTAGTTGACGATGGTGACTGGATTATCGGACAAGCCAGCTGACTCGATGTGGTCCTACTTTAATAATATAATAAAGCATCACAAGTCGCCTGTTAACGATGGTAAGAGTATAATAATAAAGTTACGTTGCTCTTGCGTTCCTATTTACCCTTTTTCGTACCGACGAACATGAATGCCGCTAAGTGGCGACTTTTACGGAGGATCAGTTTTGCGGAGGTGGATAAAGTCCATCTAGCTCGACCTGTCGAGCCTGTCCAACAATCAGAAAAATCTGCCGTTAAAAGAGTTGTAACGTAAGGGAGATTCGAAAATTGCTTTATTTTTTAGCTAGGGCTTCTAGTCTTCGAGATAATGAAAGATTTTCGAAAGATATTAATCTACAAAAATATGTGTGTGTTTTTTGCAATCCTTACCCTGTCCCGCAATATATCTCGAGTGGCGCCCAATTTTACTACGCACTATACGACCACTGGCTTGAGCCAACGAAAACCATACTTTTATTTTGTTTTTTTTTTTCTAGAAGTCTTGATCTCTGATGAAGACTCTTTGAAATATCATATCAAGACAAGCAGACACTTGAGACTGCGAGAGCTACTGATGGAAAATTCATATGGCGCCGACTTTTTCGTTATGACGTTGCCTTTACCTCGACAGGTACATACATATTATTGCAGACAAGTTAAGAGTATGTACCGAAATCACTCAGAGCAAGCAAATGATCCCGAAACATTATTTCCTCTTCCATTGTAAGACATATTGGTCGTCCAACACTTTTATTGTGCTTCATTCTCAATTTGTTATTAAGAGTAGACCTTGGAATTGTGTAACGTTTGGCTGCTTGCCTTTGTGTTAAAGTCCCAGATTTAATCATTTGTAATGCTTCTTCTAGCTTCTCTGACGAATAATTTGATAAGGTGCCATAGCTACGCACCCCAGGTTTCTTTACATTTGATTTTCGAGGCATTTTATAGATGTGTATACACTGAAACAATTTTAAATTATTTATATCTACAATCATAAATAATGGCTATTAACATATAAACACGAACATAAGAAGAAAATATAAGCTACGTTCAGATGCCAATGTTGCCCAGCTTATTATAGATTACTAAATAACAACATTGGGTAACTTTGGACCGGCCAAAGTTACCCCAAAAATCGATTTTATAGGAGAATTTCATTTCCTTTTAAAATTTAACACGGATTTTGTTTACAAATTACCTTAAAATGATTGTTTTCACAAAAAAGAAGGAACAAATTACATATATTTACATTACTTACTCGGTTACTAGTCAAAAACACGTTGAAATCCAAAATTTAAAACACTACTTTTCACAGAGCACTTTCACAACGGTCGAAAAGAATTGCGATGTGTTTGACAGATTGTCAGTTGTCAATGACATTTTGTTTGTTTTTTATGGCTAGAGTCATAAGCATTTCAGCCAAATTTTTTTCAATAGTTATTATTGTATAGTTGTTTCTCTAAAAAAAGAATAAGATTATCTTTGGGAATGGTCCAATGTTAACACCGTGGTCCAATGTTACCCAATTTGACTGTAAAGGTAAAATTAATTGTTTTCTTCCTAGGGTATATCGGCAGCTCTGTACATGGCGTGGCTGGAAGTGATGAGCCACGACATGCCACCAATTCTATTTGTACGGGGCAACTCTACCATGGTCATAGAGTAGCACCAATATTATTATTCATAACAAAAATCATGTAATATTCCTGTGATGGACAATATCCGTCTTGCCCTTGCAATATCCAGTGCAGTAGTATAGTAATCGTTAAATGATAAGGAAACAATAAAACCATAGTATAAATATATTACAAGATTTTTTATTTCACACATATTTCACAAGGGTTTTAATTTAAATTTAGAACAGAAAATAATGATAAAATATTTACAGATATAATCAACAGACGTTCCAGATTAACAATTTACTTAATATGAAACAATGTTATAAGAGAAACATATTTCGATACATCGTTATTAGTGCAGCGCCAGACAGACGTAGTGTCGTTCGCAGAGTTGCATAACAAATATTTACACCGTGCTAAATTAAATACGATATTCTGTTTACAAATAATTATCTGCGAGCGAGAGTAAGTGAGCCTGGACAGGACACGTGACAGATAGAACACGATAGTTACCATAATGATACGTTCGAGCAACACACTGCTAGCACGGGAGAGGGCGCGAGAGATTCATTGCAGGAAGTGGCCACGGAGAGCAAACTAAAACACGTCTACTGCGATATGTACGTTACGTAACAGGACGGCGATTCCAAATATATACATCTGTCATTAGATATGTCGCTATGCTTTCTATGAAAAATAAATATGCTGTCTTGTTACATCAAAATACTTTACTTTCCATCTATTGTTTATATTATGATTTTTTACATCAAGTAGTTATACATATTATAGAACAAATAATAAACAAAGAATCAACATGAAGGTAATTATAAATTCACGCTAGTACGACGGGCCGCATGTAAACTTTTAGAACATATTAACATTACTCAGTCTATGTAAAATTTATATTGTTTGGTCGCAGAGTGTTCACTTAGTATATGTGTAGCGGTGGCAAATGTCCAATTTGGCGAATATATTTTTTCTACATTACGTATTCAGTCTCCCGCCGGTAGTAAGTCGATCATTCACTTAGCTGTACATTACACTGGACTTCACCCTTTTGCCTTGGAAATTAGGAATAGATTTTGCAATATTTAAGCATCAGATTAGCATCGTGTAACTGAATGAAGTAGTAGCAGATGTATGTGTAGTCCATGCCATGGCCAGATTTTTCGTAGTGGAGGTCAATTCGCATGTTGAGTATTTTCTCATTATTTTATGGTTATTGCTATCATTTAGTTTTAGTCTTATCTAAGTAGTAGGTAAGTTAACGTAAGAATAAGAAAAGGAATTTAATAGTGTTTAAAAATTACAGTGAGAAATAATGTCAAATATAAATAGTTGGTGTTACCTTACCCCCACTCTAAAATCTGACCATGGTTTATAGTCATACTATAAAATGTTTACTGAAGTGGTTGATTTCATTTAAACCTGTTATCCTTCGTTGATAATGAGCAAAGTGGACATTCTGCGACTAAACTTATTTATTATATAATAATTTATAATAATTCGTAACGACGTCTAGATGCTTCAGTGCATTATCATAAATTCATACAATAGCTCGACGTGAGCGTTGACGATTATAAAAATGTATAATACACATCATTATGCGACAACGCGCGAATGAAATATATAAAAGATATATAATTGATTATGAATCAACGTTTTAAGCCTACCAGCACCTCAACGTATATCAAATCGTGCGAAACTGCGAATTCAACGGACACATTTAAATATAATGTTTGTATGGCAATTACATCAAATAATTTATTGCAATAAAATAAACATAACTACATAAGTTACAGACAAAACTTCACACAGCCATAACTCCTTACATCATATAAATAAATATTAAAAATCTAAATAATCGTGGAAATATTTTTGGTTACAAAGATTTATAATATGCAAATAAATACTTGTGTAGGCTTCCTTCCCATTACCAGGTTTATTTCAGTTCTTATTCTTGCTAGAGGAACGTTTTTGTTTCAATGTTTATATTTCTTAAGCTATGTGCGGATAGCGCGGCAGTCAGTGACGTCACACTATACACTGCATTCACTGTACACTCGTACACTATACACTGCGTACACTATACACTATACACTGCGTACACTGTACAGTAAGTCTGTGTGCGCTACAGTAGGGCGCAGGACGGTCGAGACAGTCTTCATTCCGACTCCTCCTCGTTGTCTTCGTCGAATCCCGTCAGGTCGGCAGAGTCTAGGTAGCCCTGCATCACCTGCAAATGTCATATTACATACGATTAGTATGCATTATTTATACGGAATTTTTTGTTCGTGGTTTTATTTCTGATTAAATTAGTCTGTTATTACACGTGAAGGGACTATCATATGTAGGTGGTTGGTTGTGCAAGTTCTCCGCACATTACAGTTTATAAGCCCTGATACGGCTCGACACTCGGCTGGGCGTCGTGGGCTACTATATATTTTTTGTTTGATCAGTTCCAAAATATGATTAGGACAAAAACATTGTTTCTACTAACTACCACAATGAAATACATTATATTGAAATTTACAATTAGATCACACGCTTAAACATTCTACGGAGTTTGACCAAACTTTAAAGATGACGTTAATCATTGTCCTTATAGCTAAAAATAAGTTATATGGTATGTGCGACACTGACCGCGTACTCGAGTAGCGCGAGATGACAGAAGACGTACTGGTCGGGCATCTGGATGGAGTGCGCGCGCTGCGCCCGGATGCGCTCCACCGTGCCGCGCACGTCCAGCACGCCCTCCGCGCTCAGCCGCTGCGCGCAGATGTCCAGCGTCAGGAACGTGCCTGCGGACACACGACAGCTCATTATACATCATCTTGTACGAAACTTACAGTACCATAAAAAATATCATCATTAGCAGTTCGTTTTTATGTTGTTTAATATGAGTGTTTGACGAGGTTACTCGACTAATTTCAGCCACGCCAGGGTTTACAATCATGAGCAGCATTGTGCTATGAACTTTTGAATGTAGTAGTAGTGTAGTACGTACCCGTCCTGCCGATGCCCGCGGAGCAGTGCACGACGATGGGCGGGCCCTGCTTGTGTCCGGCCCAGGCGTGGTCGAGGTCGTGCAGCGCGAGCGCCTGCGCGCGACGCGTGCGCGCCAGGAAGCGCAGCACGGGCGCCGCGCTGCCGCCGCCCGGCACGCCGTAGTCCGGCCAGCGCGTGTACTGCCCGTGCCAGATGCGACGGGACCCGCCGCGCTGGGGACAGTCACACATATTTTATAATCCAACGAAGTACACGCTGATACCAGCGATATGAAGAGAATGACATTTCAAAAAGGAAACGGTAATAAAAAAGTACTGCACTGCAAGTGGTATAAAAAGAAAACCGTTTAAAAATGACATATTTTCGACTAATCATTATTATTAGCTTCTAAATGCTGGAAACGATGACCCATATTTAAATGCTTTGTATTCGTAAGATTTGTGTCGGTAAAGCAAGGTTACCTTAAGGTCACTGAGCAGTAGATGCGTGACGGTGTAGTCCTCCTCGTGCTCGACGGCCTGCGTGGTGACGGCGAAGTCTCCGTAGACGACGTGTTGTCCGTCGGCGAGCGGCCAGTACTGCCCGCACTTGACGCGGCCGCGCTCCACGGCGCGCGTCGTCATCACGATCACCAACGTGCCCTGCTCCCACACCATGCGCCAGAAGTCACCGAACGTCTTCGGCAACGGACCTATAATCAATAGCATCAACATTTCATTTACAATGGCAAAGTTACCGCAAAATAACCGAGACATTAATATTCCTTTTTTTCTTCACTTCTGTATTAAAATTCTAAGAACACAATAATAAGTATCAACAACGTCGATTCGAATAAAAATACATAAAAAAATGTTACAAAAGAATGTCGCCGCTGTTATTCGCCGAGTGATTTCTATGAAGAGAGGATTTCCCCTGCGTTTATTTCCAATTCGCGCTACAGTACAGGGCTGTATTATTTATAATTCACAGAAAACGTATTTCCATCGTAAACAAGTTTAGCGATTTTCCAGGTAGTATGGGAATGCAGCCAAATTGTATCAAATATTCTGAGAAGATTAGTTGCATTTTTTCTCACAATGATAAATGGAAGTCATACATTACGGTTGAGCAAATTGTAATTGTCGTGCTACATGACATGTACTGTAAATAATATAATAAATAATCATATACCTACATAGTTCATTCAACTTGTGCTCTAAAAATCTTAATATCAAATACTCATAACGACATGACAGAACTGTAGAGAAGGTGATTAATTAAACTTTATAATCGTCAGATGTACGTAGTTACAGCGACCTCAAAGGTGTTTTTTCAAGTCGATTGATAGAACATAATCTACAACACAGTTATACGAGCACGTGTTCTCCGTTTATCAGGAGTGTACCTACTGATAACAATGTAATCATTCACTGATTGAAACATATCCAATTAACAACGTGTTCGTTTTAAAAACATCTATATCAGATTATTTACGACAAGCGATGGATGATACATGATAAAACAAAGTGCTCTTTGATACTTTGAAATCTAGAATACTACGCCTCATTGACTGCAGAGTTGTAATTCGATTTTTTTATGAAACTAATTAAATTGTTGCTCTGTATATAGTCTGGTTGTGATGTGTACGTGAAGTTTGTGAGTACATCCTCGACACAGAAGAAAAATAAAACTTTTTTTTTATTAATATAGTAGGTAAGTAAGAGGTTTCGAAGCTTACCTTGCGTACAGATGTAAGCATTCTTCTGTTTGTACCCGTCGACGTAGTTAGCGTTGATATAGTCTGTGGTGGGGTCTTCCGGATCTGTCTGCGACAGTAACACGCGCGAGTGGTCGTAGCATAGCACGTCCGTGTAACGATTTTTGGCTAGATTGCTCGGCAATCTGGAACAATCAACAAAAAACCTTATTTACTTAGAAATAACGCTGATATTCCTTTTCTAAAATAAACAGCAAATGTAATTAATACTCTAATTACCGTTATTATGTTTCAGTGGGTTTGTTTTGGCTAAAAAACTTTCGTTGTTATTGTGAAGCTTTCTAATTCTGAATGTTATGTGGGCGAAAAAAAGTATAGCATTACCAAATGTTCCTAATTAAGAGGTAAAACGATAATTGAAGATATTAATTACAACAATAACATTATCAGGAATAACTGGCATAAAAATAGCGATTGAGAAAGTTAATTGGGGGAAAAGATCATTAAGTTACCAAAAAAACATCATGTAGGTAGAGTTGACTAAAGGTCGAGGTATTTTCCAGAAACTGAGGTTTGAGATTCTATACTCAATACACTGATTGATTTACTACATTCCAATATGAATTTTATGTACGGTACATAATACATTATTAGTAAACTATGAGATCATCACGGGATTAGATGAGGAAAACTATATTGAGGGGCAACCGAACTGGTCTTTGCTGAAGTAGTGCTTAGTTTGGTGAAAAACCAGTTAGCTTTTCTCATCCTGTCCAATAGCCGTTCCATTGAATTATGGTTCATGCATGACCATGGCAGTATTTTAATATCATAAATATACATACATGTTTGGTCTCTGTTTTATCATAAACATCAACATAACTGGCCAAAGAGGGTTTAATGTGGTTTCTAAAAAGTAAACATGTTATTTAAATCTATTATGTCAATGTTTATGAAATTCAAAAATTCAAATTCAAAATTCTTTATTATCTTAAGAATTACACTATCTGTCTAACATTGAAATATCTGTAGGATTGGTTGTAATATTGTTTATATGTGATAGGTCGACGATTGGTCATTATAGGATCGGATGTTGATCTCTTTAAGTGGACTTATTGGTTGACCTTAGTGGACCCGATCTGCCCTATAATCATATAGAAATTTGTAACAAGAAGTGTTTAATTGATTATTATTTGTGTGTATTGTTGTGAATAAGTATGTAATACTGACTTGGCATGATGGAAGGTGCCGAGCGGAGGGCGCGCGCGGATGTCGTCGTACTCAGCGGCGAGCCCGCGGCGGCCGAGCGCGCGCACGCGCTGCAGCAGTGCCTGCGGCGCCTCGCCCGCGCCGCCGCCGCCGCCCTCCTCGTCCGACAGCCCCGGCGACACCTCGCCCGACGACCACGTGCCGCGCGCTGCAACACGAACACGTAACGTACACTCAATAATTATACTACATTCACTATAACTGTTATAGACTACCTATAATAAACAATCTAACGCAGGCATATAACTCCATTAATTACTGGGTTATTACACTTTTGTTTATTTTACGTATGGTTACGAAGATATTATTTTTCAGACATCCAGAAATCTCAGTGTAGATGACTGTCATTGTCATTTGTTCAAAACATGTGCATCTTTCCTGGTACTACTGAACCTTACGGGACTTGCAGGTAACAATGTAAACCTGTTCATACTGAGATACGTGTGCAATAGAGATTATTCTTCTCCGACAGAGTTCCCTATAAGTTTGAATATTTGTCTAAACACACAAATTAAGTCCAGCACAATTGTAAAAATTCAGACTTTTTACATACTTTGCGGCTTTCGAGACACAAAGTGGTAAACTTCTTTTAATAAGTGATCAACCAACTAATATCTCAGCCATCCAAACTGTTCAAAATAGTATTAAGAAAACTTCAAAACATTTTATTCCTTTCAGAACACTTTAATTATAAAAAGAATCAAACTTTGCCTCGTATTATGTATTATAATAGAAATAGAAAATACCACTCTCATTGTATATCATCAATCATCTTTCTATTTTTATATTTTTGAAGTTGGGTTTGGTAGCGAAACAATTCAAGCACTAAAAATTTGTAAAGCCCGACCCAAACCTATCTTTGTACAAGTGAAAGGACAGGGTGCCTCCGCACTAAGCCTCCGACCCAAACGTCCGTTTAATCATGTGGACGACCGGTCAGAGCATACCCTTACAAAACCCCAATATATCTGCCCCTTGCTAGAGGAACCAATTTTACACACTGAACCTTTACCTACAATCCGCAAAACTCAACACAACCTTTGTTCTATTTAAGTTTATAAGAAAGCTTGTATTAAAACACTTACTGTTTAACTTTATCACAAACACTAAAAAGAATATCAACATGATTTTGACGAACGTTTGAAATTGGCACTTCATAACGTTGGAGCAGACCACGCGATACGTATGCAAAGTATATACGAAATAAACAGTACTATATGAAATTCAGTATCGACAGTAAACCATGGAACAGCTGACACGATGAGCAAACCCGGATTACTTTAGATCACCGATTGGGATAAACGTCACACAAACGCAAACACGCGACTATTCCAAACAAACGGAACTAAAAAATGATTGGATTATCGAGCCAGTGAGTGTAGTGCGGCGAGCAAAGCAATCGTTCAACAGTGAACAATATAAATCGCATACTATCAGGTTCAATCGAATTGTTGCAACAATCAAGTGTTGTTTGCAGTATTCCGCGTATTTCTCATAAAATGTATAACCTTCGGCTGATAATCAACCATTTCTTTTACGACCATTAACTTTTAATCGATTGATTCTGTTTTACGATCTATTCAAAAAATATATCGTAAAATAATAATAGACAATCTATACATATAATAAAATCGTAAGAAAGTGAAACTGTACATCGAATATTTTTTTAAATGAATGCTTTGGGCGTGGTCTACATTCGATACTGAAACCAAAAATATGGTGTTAGTATTTTTGTCCGTTTGTCTGTATCATGTGTAGTTATGTCAAAAATGCTGCATGGATATTGGATATACTTCAAATTTTGCATGAATATTACTAACAGGTCGAGTCAACATACAGGACGATCAAATAGCACCAGGTGATCGGCAAGGTTCCAACAGTCATCAGAAAAATATAGAAATAATTTCAAGTTACATAAATTTTAAATTACAATGACTTATACGTTATCCACAAAAAGCACATCCTGTGCCAGTCTTTTGACTCTTGTTGCTACAATAGGGTAGATTCCTAGATTTTATTTTATTGTCCGTGTGGTAGATTAATTTAAAACTTTAGACACATATTTTTTCTTTTCTCATAAAATTAAATACTTTCGACGATATATTAATTTGAAATATCGTGTGACGCTACAGCGTGCCACATTTTGTACCACGTTATGACGTAATAACCTCTCACTCCTAAAACTAGCGCCATTTTATCTAAGTATTGCTACTTAATACGAGAAAATAAAAAAATACGTGTCTTATATTTTTTCATTATCTAACTAACGGACTAATTAGATTTTTATATTTTTAAACCCTGGAAACTACCCAATTCTTTATTTTTTTGTTTGTATTTTTGATAAAATAAAGACTGTAGCAACAAGAGTGAAAAGACTGGCACAGGTGTACTTTTTCGTGGATAACACATAAGTCATTGTAATTTAAAAATTATATGACTTGGAATTTTTTCTATATTTTTCTGATGTCTGTTGGAACTTTGCCAACCACTTGGTGCCATTTGATCGCCAACTTTAGGGACACCCTGTATAGGCTACATATTATCATGCTATCAACTACGGGAAAGGAGTTGTAAATCACAATTCCACGCGCACGCAGTCGGGAGTTTAGCTAGTAATTAAATAATAGATCGTAAAACAGAATCAATTGAAAAAATTCCAACAAGAGTGGTTTTTCACCAAAAGTTTTGGGACCTCATAATAATTATACATATAGAACAGAGATTTTTCACTAACACTGGGTCAATTTAACCAAGTTCGTACGTAGATCCTATCGTTTTTTTTCACCCACATTACAACTTTAGGAGCACATTTTCATCCGAAAAAAGTATTATAAACTGATACCCATTATATCATCGGTTTCGTGTCACAATGAAACTTACCGAGGCGCATTAAATATTGGCCCATGGAGGCATCGAATTATGTATCACTAACTAACTAATTCAATAACATACCCTCACTTTTATGACTGGTACTCATCAGTACTGTTGTGTGAATTATTGTATTGTAATTAATAATTCAAGTAAAATTAATAAACAATCATCGAAACCAACGCAACGTTACTATGGCAGTTTTTTACTTTTTTTACTTTGACAGTAAAGTAATGTCAATGTAATAAAAAGGTTTTATTCATCCGAGGTTGTACTCACTGCTTATGTCCATGTCATCCTCGTCTCCCGAGTTTATGTGCCTGCTCTTCATATCACCATTATACCCATGGGTGTGCCTATAAAAAGAAAGATATATGAGTACACTTAACAATTATTGTTTTTGTTTGTGATAAGATTGGTATTCATTTGATATAATCATTGTGTGATTGCCTCGTTGATTGGATATTAATAAGGTTGTTAAGCAAGAGATCTCAGGTTTGATTCCCGGTTTGGATAGTGTATTATTGAAGGTTTTCTGTTTTTGGAAAATTTCTCAGTAAACTAACTACGGTGGAATTTCTACTATAAAGAGTCTGGAGTTGTGCCTCGCAAGTGAAAAGTGGGTGTTTTGCATATATACTATGCACCTCTGGAAAACCTTTCGGGAGCTAAGAGCCGTGATATTTTGTTATTTTGATTATTATAAAGTAAAGTAAGTAAATATTGTGGTCAAGGATACGATTCCAATAAATGATAGAGTCTATATTTTACGAAACGTCATCGTAGCATGAATTAGAAGTGTTTTGGATATAACATTAGTAATAAAATAGCAATATATAGCCAGTAAATTCTTTAATAATACTATTATTATAATTACCATAACTGGTCTGACTAGTGATTCTTGTGGCGACGCATTTGTAGAATGTGATCAAAATTATACGCTATTATAATTATATTACCATTTTAATTGAACTCTTTTACTTACTTATCTCTTTTATTGCGAAAAAATTTATAAATATGTAGACGAATTACCGATTTATCAATGAATTAAAGACGTTTTTAATCTCTAGATTTAATATTCTACAGGTTAACAACTGTTATCTAGAATTCTTCGGTACACTTCCGTTGAAAAAATATAATACATATTGTGCGTGCGTGCGTTCATGTTAAATGTAGGCACGCAGTTAGAGGGTAGATAGTGCAGATAGTGTGTGGATCTAACCCTTCAAATTATAAAAGGTAAAGTATTGAATATTAGGTAATAAGTAAGTAAACAGTAATCAGTTACCTGAGCGGGCTGGGGTCGCAGGTGTAGGGAGGGTCGCCGCTGATGTGCATGTCTGTGTCGGTGTCCAGGCGCGGCGCGCGGTCGCTGGTCATGTCACCCTCGTGCTCTATTATACCTGCACAAACAACTAGTATTATAATATCCACAATACTTTTATGGTACTTACTATAGTAAAAAAAATAATGTTCGGAGGCTGTCTGGTGGGAAACAGCCACTTACATCCTATGCAATACCAGAGGTATCACGAGTGCGTTGCCTACCACTGAGTCCCGTCCAAGAAACAAAATCTTCTTTACAAATTAAGTATTAAGAATTATAAATGATGAACGCTCAAATTATGAATGTGTCTATCTAAAATGTATTTTCGTATCTTGTCAACGTTCAAAACAAACGTATTCAAGTCGACGGTGTGTGAAATCTAAATCCTAGTAAAACAGAATGATAGGTAACACGTCACTGTATACCTAACGTTATCTAAAACATGTTCAGCACTCACCATTTTGCGCGTTGATAGGTGGTATGTGATTACTGATTACATATTCATCGATGACGCCGTCTAGTTTAGCGTTCTGCAAATTGTTCGTGTAACAATTCTTGCAGTGCTCCAACCTGCAGACAAGAGAAAAGAGCTTAAAACTTTAATCAAATAACTCAAAGGAAAAACGAGAATAACTTACAAAACGGACAACACACACATGACGTACACAGCGTATGTGCGATCGATAAAATCTGTAGGATTGCAAGTACCCTTCCAATAAAGAATTCAAAGAAATAAAGTGGCTAGGATAGCTCCCACAATCTTATCTTGTATCATTGTTATTGCCACGATAAACATGAATCACGTAAGTACCAGTAGATATTGTATGAACGCGGCTCATGCTGTACATCACCTGAACTCAAAGTTAATGAGCTCTATAACAGCCGACGCAGAAATTCAACCCCGATTTATCATTGGTACAGAGGCGAACCGCTTCATTATATGGCCAATAAATCATCACGGTACATTATGTAATACGCGTCTTCGTATTTTCAGGTGCCAAGTTTTAGAGACTTCAAATCGATCGGGTAGAGGACGGTTTCACAAGATTTTCGCAACTCCCACGTTCGTTCTATGCATGTATCGCATATACGGTCAACAGCGCGTAGGTGGTCGAACAAATTACTTATATACGTAGATAGATAGATTCCTAATGTTCAACGTCCACGGACATGTTTGTCGGTTGCCAAACCTGGTATGGTAGTAAACTATCACTTTCCCGAGCTTTCGCAACATAAAATTACATAACAGTGAAATCATAATTTTCATTAACAAAGTATTGCCTTACTCTAGGATTTTGTGCCCTCAAAAAAGGCGAATGTAAATTCCGATAGATTTCTACAAAATAAACAATACAACTATGAGATTTTCCACAACAACGATGGACAAGTCCCTACTAATAAAAACAAAGCAATATTCTTAATACTTTTTACCTTTAAGCAATAAGTAGAAATGAAGGCAAGCACTTTGTTACGCAAGTTCGTTAAAGGGGTTAATTGAAATTTCGAGCGTTTAACAATTATCGTTGATTACATCGTAACGTGAAATATATGTCACGTAATGCCATGCCGTGGGGTGGAACAACAAAAGTCGACCTACTTGGCACACAGGCGCCGAATTTCCTTTGCACCTTTTTATTCAATACACCTACTACATTATAATCTACATAAAAGCTAGCAATAACTACTTAATTATATGACGATGTATTTTTCATACGATAATTGAAGTAGTTTGTATAGAATACATTGAATAAGTAGGATAGCCCCATTTCAATCCCGAACAATGTGAAATAAACCGTAATATGTACAAATCTTTACAAAACCAGACATAACGATGTTAATTTCAACGTAAATACCACGGGCCATTCTTGAAAAAAGGGTCGAGAGCAAGTCTGACGGGCAGACAGATCCACAGTGAGCTGACCGAACGAGGGGCTCGTTTTTCAATCATTTAAGAAACCCTAACACGTATTATAAAGGCGAATTTCTTAATGGGGACACTCATAAGCAAATGAATAAGTACATTGATGGTGCATAACAGATAAGTCTGACAGAGGGAAACTAAGTCGCAGGAAGGAAGCCCGGCTCGGCTACATGCAAGATAGCACCAAAGTTGCGGATACTGCAGCTCTCCCACGACTCCCACCTACATCGCTTACAAGACCGTAAACTTTCGGTTTTGTTGCCGCAGCGCTAACAACGATGGAAGTTTCTTTAATAGTTTCCCTGCCACAATGACATGCAAACTTCTAGATATAATATACATAGTAGACGTTGACGATAACGGAGTTAGATACTATGAAAACAGAATTCTTAACTGAATTAACTTCCGCTCTCTAAATACTAGGTAACTTCATAAAGAGGTAATTTTCTAGATCTAATTCTAGTAAAACTCAATTGGTTGTTCAAACTTTAGTGAACCAGTCACAGTGATGACGTAAATTTATTGACTACATTACAAGATTAAGTATTTTGTCACAGTTAAAGGTTTGTTACCTTACACAGCAATGAAGAAAAATATTCACTACACTTAGTGGTGGGATGCGAGAAACTGATTGAGCTCATTGAGAGATCTCTTCATCAGAGAGGCTATATCCAGTAATGGCGTAACATCATAACATAACATCACGCCTTTTATCCCCGAAGGGGTAGGCTTTTTTTCTTTATTTATGTTATGAGTCCCATGTAATAAGGGGTGAGCCTATTGCCATGTACCGGGCACAATTCCAGACTCCGTGCTACTACTGAGAATATTTAAAAACCCAGTAATACTTTGCCCAACCCGGGAATCGAACCCGAGACCCCTTGCCCGGCAGTCGCACTTCCAACCACTCGGCCAACGAGGCAGTCATAAAAAATAGCGTAAGTAATAGCGTAATAAAGAAGTAAAATATTTACCAGGCAGCGTGGTCTGGTTCGTGCAGGCCACCAAGTTGCTTGGGCAGACTGGAGCGGGGCACGTGCAGGCCAAGCTGAGGCGCGTTCACAGTGTGCACGCGCTCACGCAACTTCTCTCGGACAAACAGCCGCAAGATCCGAAATGGTGCTTTGAACCACAGCGGGGCTGTCACTATCAACACCTTCTTCAGCTTTGCTGGGTAACCTCCCTAAAACAAACAATTGTTTTAAGTTAGACAAAAATATTTAGGTAGAATGAAAGTACTGAATAATGACGACTTGCAAAAAATATTTGACACGCGCTTTCAGACACACCTTTAGTATAAAAGTTATGTGACAAACTCCACGATATTCTTTAATCCTGGTCCGTAATTGAAACAACAGGTTCTCATAAATTATGTATCGAAATATTGTTCAGAATACAAACACGTTTATAACGAAATCCACGATATAACCGAATTAAACATTCGTGACGACCGCATTGAGTACAGCCTGGGGACGAGTGGTATAATTGTATTGTTATTGGAGACGAAATAAGTTATTATTAAACAACATTCATCATTCATATAAAACTAGACTCGCAAGTACAATTTTCGCATGTATTTCATAGAAAAGTAGTCCCAAATAACATTCATTTGTAATACTTATTTTTGTAACAACAAATGTATTTTTTATGTTTAGAATTAGCAAAGGAGCTAACAACCCAGAAACTGAGGAAAAAATAAAAATATCTCCGTGCATTTGTAGTCAAATAATTCTTTGAAGTCGGCAAACCCGATCATTAAGAGTTACCGCACTGGCCTCGGGAGTATAAGGTACACGAGTATTACTGGAGCCAAAAAGACCACTAGAAAATTCAACTCAGTGTATTGATACCCATCTAAAGTGATAATTTTAATTTCTAATATTGAAACCAATTTAAATTAGTTCCCAAGTGTTTGTACAATACAACAGTCAACAACCAGCAGCACCTATAAAGGTCAAGTTCATTAATTTATCACTTAGAATACGTTAAATGCTAGAGTCAATCTTAAATGGATTTCGCCTAACGAATCTCCGAGAAGTGACAAAACTTGATAATAAATCCAACCGGAATGGAAGCTGGCCTTATAAATATTCAGGACTGAGACGATCTGTAAGCGCTCGAGGGTAAAATGAGGTTTACTGTAAAAGCATAGTACAAAAATCTCCGCTGAACAATAATCTACGTCACTCCCGCTAAGCTCTGACCTCCATCAACATACATTATTCAATTTTATATGTAAGTACAGCACTTCACAAAGAGATTATTTCCAGCACTCAACATTTTATTTATACCAATCCTAATGTAATGTTGTGTAATATCAATACTTAACTAGAGAACTCTTATTCTGAAAGAAACAAAAAAAAAACTAAATATTCTGGACAGATTTCACATTCACAAAACTTTCTAATTTAACAAACTGAACGAAAACATCTGTTTTTCCGCTGGCCAATCCTGTGCAGAGTTGTTGAAAAAAGGTCACCGTTTACGACGAAAAGTCCTTAGCGAGAAAATAGGAAAATCGTGAGTGTTTTGTTGATTGTTATCATTACGTGAGCCAATTTGTAGGTCCGGGAGGTCAGGTAGTACGTATGGCAATTTGCAAGCGGGTTTGGGCTTGTTTTAGGTATATTTTCGTTTATATCATAAACCCACCCAAATGGGCAGTATTATTATACAACCCATGCGGGCCCACAATTCATCTTCCAATATATTTTACGACTAGTGCTAAGAAAAGTAACAAGCTTTCCCAAAGACCATTCCATTTCTGTTGAAAAACTCCATTACTATGAAACTACGGCATTTTCGTCCTCAAAAGGTTAAATATAGGTTCTGAAATTGGTTGTACATTATTTGCTACTAAAAATTATTCAGTATTTAAACGCAAACATACTGTTTCAGCTAAATTTAATAAATATCTGATCATTCGAAAGGTAATGTGGTGATAGGGGAGGAGCGAAATGCACAGGCACGGTTATGAACGCTAAGACCAAGGGTGAGAGGTCATTGCCCCCCGATTTTCGGCTCCCTTCAACTTATGAAATCACATACCTGATACCGAAACCGTCCGTACCGTACCGTAGTTTCATTTTAATCCCCAATGAACGCGGCGACGGCTAATTTTACCACGTAGATTGGAGTTGACCAAAACAAACATTGTACCTATGTTTGAACACTGTTTGGGACAGGCTAAGTGCATTGTCCTGGTCTTCCTCATAGGTTTAACAGTCTAGACGAGTCCTATGACGTCAGTACGGAGGGGAGACTGTAGACGAAGGTTCCAGACGCCCATCAACGACCCTAGCAATAAACAACGTAAATCGATTGTTCAGAACCTAACCGCTCGATTAACAAACCTAAATTGAAACGATAGACAACTCATTTATGGATGGAACTAGATAAATTAAACGTTTACCGGAGTTTCTAATTTACTAGAACTTTATTCTGCTGTGATATGATGAAGTAACGTGCTTTTATAGTAGAAAAGATAAAAGTTGTCAGAAGAGTACGTATGTCGTACGAAAATATAATTATATGTTTAAAATAAATAGAAACTAATCAATTCTCTCCTCTAATAGCTGACTAAGTCCACGCATAAAAAATCTTGAAAAACTTAATTTGTTAGTCAACAGGCGGGTACCTATGTACCTACAAACGGCAAATAATTTCTTTTACTCCTAATTGGATACAATTCCCAGAAACGAATGAGACAAGTAGACGTTACGCTTTCTAGTCGTATCGCGTATATGGAAACGTGTGCACATGACATTCCCTTTTCAATGTAAACCACTTACCTAGACTACGAGAAGATCATAAATCAAATCTGTTACAAACAAATGTGTTAACTTAATATTCAGTCGAGAGGTTTTCTTGAAAGTCCCACATCAAAGTAACAATTCGAGCATACAAACCAAAATCGTATTTCGAAGCAAGACAATCAAAGGCTATTAACGAAGAACCCGCGCAATCGTTATTCCCCCGTCTAGACTTTTGATCCTTTATTCGTTGGAGCAGTAAGACAACCGAATTTATCAAGCCGGAGTCGCAGCACCCCGGTGTAAAGTTCAACAATAGCTTGTCAACCCGGCTGAGGTATTGTACGAAGTAGGTCGCGACGCGCGGGTCGCGTGGACGGGGCAAGATAAACCTCCTCTTTGAGAGTACGCCAAAAGCACTTCAGTTGACGCCTAGACACTCCACCCTGCGTGTACAAACCGCAAACAAATCTTACTATTGTGACTAACTTAGTTTACTCATAAATCCTATTGTTGATTGTAATTTATTTGCCTAACATATAATTTAACTGCAGTTTCATATTGTGATTCATTCCGGCTCCTAGAATCCTCAAGAATGCGATAATAAATATGATGTTAACCAATAATGCATTAATTTTATATTGAGGATTTTTGTTTGTGAAGTGAATAATATCTCAACCAACAAAGAAGATACAAGTTAAAACTGCATTAATTACTTCGCCTTTGACTTTTGAAGTTCTTAACGAAGAATCATAAAATCCCAAGTACTAGATTAGTAGAGGCAATCGACTTGTGATCTATACTGAAATGCATAAATTGGCTAACGTGGGAGGTTTTATCTATGTAAAATGCAGAATTAGCTTACATTAGGTATCTCCTATTATAAAAGCTATTATTTGTTTCATCCGCCGTTTGTGAATAATAAAGCACAAATCAATTTTAACGGTTTTTGCAATGGTTGATCGCAAAAGTCCACGTTTTCCAATTAACGTCAAGACTATTAATGAACCCTATTTGGAACCAGTCCTGCGTTTGAAGTTTTAAATCAACGATGTATCATACAAATAACCCCAAACATACAAGAGTTTTAATCAACCCTTGTAACCCGTTTTTTTATAGCGAAAACACGATGATACAGGGGATTTCAGCTTTATAAATGACCATCAAAAGCGAGTACCGTGTGAGCCAGGTGTGGGCACAGGTACATGTCAGTGTGAGTGAAAGGGAGAGAGCACTTACAATCACAAAAGGGTTGCACTTTAACTGCCTACATTCAGACGAGTCGTCACAGCTGCGTCTCTATAGAAATGATGTTTTTCCTGACTACTCGCAATCCCTGGAATAGCTTCCGTTTAACATTCACAGAATGAATAAGCGATGTGATTTCTTGCATATGGTCAGTAATTATCCACGGTCTGAGAATCCCATACTAAAGAAACCATACAGTAAAACAGTAGAAATAACCACAAAAGGATTAGGACCAGCAATTTCGTGTAAAAAGAGAAATAACTTTTGTTTTTCAAGCACTTAAGCGATGGGCAAAGGTCAAAGTGCTGGCAATCAAGTGTATAAGTACTGTCCTTTCTGAGTGCTTTTAAGTAGGTACCTTAGAGTGTGATACACTAAGTTTTAGCGCGACGAACCGTTTCAAAAGCATCAAAGGTTCAAAGGAGACGCCTTCCATTTCAGCAAAGAAAATGGACCGTATTCAGGCTGTAAATGAGAAGCGTCTCACATGCAACTCACATCTCTACACAACACACTCTAAGAAAACATACTGTTAATATTTTATCGAGGTGTAACGATGTATTTTCCTCAAACCATTAACTTCATATTTTTTAGGATAAACGATAAGTATTATGAGTTCATGGAAAGAGAAACATGCGATTAAGTAACACAGTACATTAATAGTAAGTTTTAATAACAATAATATTATTGTCATTTGTGACATTATAACATTTTACCTTGAAATATTTTAATCAATAGAAATCAAGACTGTGACTGATAGGAAGTTACAGGATATGCGGTGTAATTTGAACGACGCCTGACGTAGACGTATAAAACGTTGAGCACATGGCCCCGGAGACACTGTGTCAACGACGAGGTTTCGTCATTGATGGAACGATTTCGCAAACAACACGGTGTCGCTTCGATGTCCGACGTCGCTGGCGCCGCGCCAGACATAAATAACACTGATCATCTTTACACCACTTTCTAACTATGCTAAGGTATATTTATGCTTCCTATGCATGCGTCTAGGCCCATTCATTTTTAATAAATATTCATTTAAAGGCTAATGAACATCTAGACGTTATTTATTATTACACCCTCTCAAAAACGTTTTAGTAGCCAGTAAGTATTGTATTAAATTAGAAATCAACATCTCCTGCTCATGTACCCACAGAGGTAAACAAAACAATTGACTGTAATT